ATCACAGCATGCACTTCACAGCTTCTAGAGGTGACTCTATGTAACACAAGAGTTGGAAGTAAGCAAAAACTAACTCAATTGTCTCATTCATAATCTGTCCCTCAAAGTAGACATAGAGGGGTTTAAATACACTTATTCAAGCAAGGAAAACCACACAATTCAGCCCCACAAGGAGAGAAATTCTTCCTAGTGGTTGTATGATCCTATATTTGTGTTTGACTTAGTGTTCTTGTAACTACAAGAAGACTATGTCTTCTCAAACTTGTCCTAGCCTATTTATTTGTGCTGGAAGTCTAAAATTCAAAAAATAACTTATGCTAAAATAATTACATATGAACTTAGCCTAACATAAGTTATAAATAATGAGATGATGTCTCATTTATACGGTCCTTTGTGCTGCTATCATTAGCCTTCTTTAAGTGTAATAATATGGTAGTATTGGCCTTCTCCTTTGCTGGTCATACTTTCTCCTCCATTCTCCTTTGTAGAGGAATAAATTTTGTTCCATTCAATCTTCTCTGTCCACGCACAAATGGCCTCACGTACCCTTGCAGTCCGAGCTCGTGTCATAGGATCATCCTGCACTTGTAATGGATCTTGCATCCTATTTTCGTGTTGAGCTAATGAACTTGAGTCTCCTTGTGTGATGTCCTCATCAGAAGGTGTTGTTGAATCTTTGTGCTTCGAGTTTCAATGAAAGCGTTGTTGACTTTTTGTTCTTCGAGTTTCAATGAAAGCGTTGTTGACTTTTTGTGCTTTAATAGGTTGAGAATGTATATTTGAACAGATACTACAATGTAATAGAGTCAGTAGCATTCAAAAAATAAAACAAATAAAAAATTGATAGATCTCATCTTGGCATATCTTGTACAAGAAAGGTGATAGTCTTCGAAACTAACTCTTGATGCTCCTTGTACAAGGAAGGTGTTGGTCTTTGGAAACTAACTTTAATTTTGTATGCATGTCCTCTTTCCTTTAATCTAGAAAAATAATTTATTAAAAAGTGTTGAAGGAAATTTTGAAAATGGTTCTCCAACTATGACCTTTTTTAAAATTGGTTTCACAATTTTTAATTGCACCTAAACTGGTTCTCCAACTATTGAAATTTAAGCCATATTAATCATCCGTTAGCACGCATTGACGCTAAGTTGGCGTTAAAATGGAGGGCAAAATGGGAAATTCAACTCGTTTACTCCATTTTAATCATATTATGACCCTATTTTCGCATATTGCAAAGCTTTTCCGAAAAAACTAGGGTGGTGTTTGGTTGGAGACTTTTGCACTCTACTATGAGTTTTGATATCATTACGAAAAAAATTTTACAATCTGCAAAAATAGAGTCATAATCTAATTAAAATGGAGTAAATGAGTTGAATTTCTCATTTTTCCTCCATTTTAACGACAACTTAACTCCAATGCTAACAGACAACCAATGCGGATTAAATTTTAATAGTCAGATGACCGGTTTGAATGCAATTAAATTATGGAACCAATTTTAAAAAAACCATAGCTCGGATGAGTATTTTGAGAATTTAATCAAATGTGTAATGTTAAGTAAAATATAATTTATTGGGTCACATAATATGTGAAGTAATAATTTCAAAAAATAAAAATAAAAATAAAAATACATGCGTCTTCCTATAGCATAGCTAGGTGGAATAAGACCCTGTATACTACCTAGCTAGCTGGAATAAGCAGTGTACCATGTATACTAAATTCAAGTCTTCTCATCACATGGGCAACCATTATTCACAAGAAGAGAATAAATAATCCCATATTTTCCTACTTAGCTTATTCCAAGTCCAGTTCAAGAGTTGTCCTACCTCAAACCTCAACAACAAGAGAATGTACGTTTATTTCATATAAAAAGAATTGAGAAAATGATCAAGTAAGCTATCAAACTATATTAGAAAAAGAAATTAGATCATTGAATTTTAAAAAATTGTAATTAAATATATCAATTTGTCATTTTGGTCTATATATATGGACCTAATAGTTAATTAATCCCATGTAAAAACAAATAATTTTCAACGTGACATGTTGCGTGTCAATCCACTTATGTACATGTACATGAAAATAATAAAATAAAAGATATTTATAATAATGTTTTATTTATAAAATTATTATACAAAATCGTTAGCGCTTTTGAGACCGTCACTGCACGCAATCAACCAATGACACATTCGTAGATCACCTCCTTCAAATAGAAGAAAAAGGCAACTAGCGGTCAAGATGGCCGTATTTGCTTGTGGTGCCTGTCAGAAATTAAAATATGATATTGTTCGTCCCATTTTTATAGCTGTAAGGTTGAGATTGGTTCTTAGTTTTCTCCTAAGAACTTGTTCTCATATGATCATATATATATATATATATATATATATATATATATATATATATATATATATATATATATATATATATATATATATATATATATATATATATATATATATATATATATGGATGAGTTCTGATGTAGAGATGGCTTCCCGTGCGGGTGTGTGGTTGACGCACCTTAAACATTAAAATGACGCATCGTAAGTACACAAAACACGCACTTTAAGTACACAAACAAAGCACCTTAAGAACACAAACTACGCGCACTGAAAGCTTTAGACCAACGCACCTTAAGTACACAAACCACGCACCTAAGGTTTTAAAATGGTGCACATTAAGTTTCAACAACTCACACACCTTAAGCATACGAATCACGCACCTTAAGAAAGAAAATCACGCATCTTAAGCTTCAGGTTGACGCACCTTAAGTTTCAACAACTACTATCGTTAAGCACAAAAACCACACACCTTAAGCACAAAAATCACGCATCTTAAGAAAGAAAACCACGCACCTTAAATTTGACCTAAATATAAAAATTACTAAATTACCATCGTATTTTTTTTAATTTTGTTAATCTTGATCGTTGATTTAAACAAGATCAATGTTTCAGATTTAACCACTGAGAGAGGACACGGCATTTGATCTAACGGTGATGGTGGATCAAGGTTTTGGGACCATAATACGGAGTATTTGTGTTTCCTTGATGCATATGATGATGTAGGAATGTTTTGATGCTGACTGACTTGGCTTTCTACAAAGAATGTCCAGCTAGAAACAGAAAATATTAAAAAAAAAAAAATCAGACTAATTTTTTGGGATAATGGATTCTTCTATATCTTTTAATTTAATTTAATTTTTTTTTAGAGAAATGACATTTTTTCTCTTAATTGCATAGAATTATAGAAATAATACTTTTCTTTCCTTACTTATAATCAGACAACCTCAATTTAGTACATCAAAATGTTGATTGGATAACCACAATATTACAAGTTCAACTCCTAGCGGAAGTAACTTATTAGTGTTCTTAGTTTGAATTGGTTAGCTATAAATGACTCTCGTGTAAATTCTCGAACAATGATTGTGATTTAAGCTCTTTAGTTGGTATAATTGAAGAACGAAAAGTATTATTTTTATTTTTATATTTAAATTCTTGGCATCATGAATGATGTTTTGAACATATCCAATGAGGTCTGAATTTCCGTGAGGGAATATAATTTATTTTCTGCTTCATAATCAAAATCCCAAAAGACTAAATTGACCCTCCAAATTAAAGTCCCCTATAGCCTAAGAAAAGCCTGCAGAAATGGACAAATTTATACAACAGTCTTACCAATATTTATTCCCTTCTTGTTTTGGCATATGACTATAACTCATCAACTCTCTCTCTCTCTCTCTCTCTCTCTCTCTAACTTTTTCACCATGACTGAAAACTCTCAAAAAGGGTCTCCATTTCTTCCATTGTCCTCCTCCGGCATGAGGGTTTCGCCGGAAAACAGTAGGCTGCCGGCGAGTGGTGGCACCACCAGAACTTATGCCAGACCCAAAGCCCCCCGTCTCCGGTGGACGGAGGAGCTCCACCGCCGCTTCGTGCATGCAGTGGAGAGGCTTGGAGGAGAAGAGAGTAAGGAATTATATTATTTCACCATCTTCAACCTCTTTCTGTTCTTATTACACCATGCATGCATCTCCATGCACATTCACCATCAAGAAAATTAAATCCAATGTATAACCCAGCCAAGTTGTTCGTGTTGTTGGTTCTGTGAAAGCAGTAATAGGCCTTTTTAGTTTGAGTCAGTCAGTTATAGACAATTTAGACTGTGTTTTAGTGATTTTTTACCATGCACATTCAGTACTATCAAAGAAAATTAAATATAGTGGGTCAATCGCAGCCAAGTTGGTTAAATTATTGACTGGATAATCACAAAATTACAAATTATATTCTTAGTGCGACTAACATATTGACATTCTTAGTTTAATTTAAACCACTTATGAGTAACTTAGACTGGTTACCTCAAGTGGTCATTTGTCAGCTAAAGTCCCAACACATAATTTTATCTGTGCACAGCCTCTGGTATAGTGATTAAATCCCAGAAATGGGAATATAATCAATATTTTTCTCGATTATTCTTTCGCTCTTGAATCCACTTTTCTAGGTTTTCAATTTCCAGGAGCAACTCCAAAACTGGTGCTGCAGTTGATGGATGTGAAGGAAATCACCGTAGCCCACGTAAAGAGTCATCTCCAGGCACGCGCGCGCGCATATACATACATACATACATATATATATATATATATATATATATATATATATATATATATATATATATATATATGATCAGATTTTCGTGAATAGAGCTTTCCGTGTGATCGGTGCGAATTGCACCATTAGGTTATTATAAATGCACCATAAAGTGTCTGAAAGTACACCATTATGTGTGTCTTTTGTGACATTTCATTCTGGTGCATTTATGCATAGCTAATGGTGCAACCCGCACCGACCGCACTGAAATCTGTTCTCATCTGAACCAAAATCTATATATATATATAATGCACTGTGCAATGGTTAAATCTTTAGAAGATCGTATGCAGACGTTGTTTGTTGTGGAATAAAGTTCTTAAAGTTTCTGAAAATCTGATCTTTGAGCTGCAGATGTACAGGAGCATGAAGCATGAGCAAAAGATTAAAGGTTTGTTAATTACTACTACTTCTATATACTCATTAATGGAAGAATCATATCAAAGGGTATCTTATTGATTTTGATGTTTGAATTGAGTTGATCGAGGATCATCACTACATTTACTATTTTAAGAACTCAAAATAATGCATGCTTTTTCTTCTTATTAGGCGTTGCTTGATATGATGGTTTTTGCGTGGCATAATAATAGGCATCTATATGTATCTTCATTTCTTAATTAAGAAGTTAATTGACTTGACCAATTTATAACCTTTTACTTTGTTTCTTTCTATGACTTATGTTGTTTCAATTCCATGGGTTAATAATAATGTTCGTGGTTATTATATATATCATTATCTATGTTTTCTAGATCTATATATTTACATATACAGTTTGTATTTGTGTAATAGCCTGCGAAAAAATACTTTATCCTTCTGATATGATAATTATATTTCACTCATTCAAACATTTCTTAATTTATACCATGTATAGTATTATATCAATTTATAATAATATTGTCTTTTTTTCTATATATATATATTGTTGTGATTGCATTGAAATATGAACAATAATTAGTCATGTCATTTATTAATTAAATTAAAGAGTTAATACCCAAAATCGTCCTCGACTATAGTGGTTTTTCTCAATTTCGTCCTAAACGACTTTGGTGACCTAATATCGTCCCAGACTTTTGTGTTTCGCTCAATTTAGTCCTCCATTTGTTATTTCGTCAAATTGGTGTTAAATAAATGGACAATTCAGTAATGTCAATATTGATCTCTCTTTACTTTCAACTTGTGAAGTGCGAAATTCCTCTTTCTTGTACGAATTACACCCAGAATTACTCCCGGACCTGCAAATCAAATTTTATATTCGCAGTTTTAGGAGTAATTCTGGGGGTAATTCGTAAAAAAAAAAAGGATTTCGCAGTTCACATGTCTATGAGTAAAGAGATGCCAATATTAAAATTACTGAATTGTCTATTTATTTAACACCAAATGGACAGAATAACAAATGAGGGACTAAATTGAGAAAAACACAAAAGTCTGGGACTAAATTGAGCGAAACACAAAAGTCTGGGACGATATTAGGTCACCAAAGTCGTTTAGGACGAAATTGAAAAAAACCACTATAGTCGAGGACGATTTTGGGTATTAACTCTTAAATTAAATTTGTTGGGAATGCAGAGACCAACGTTGAGCAAAACCACATCGTTTCAAGCCCAACTCCTTACCGTTATCCTAATCCTCCTCACAACAGTGGACAAGAGGCAGCTATGCCCCCAAGCTTTTTACCTTCATTATGGTTAGTAAAAATTAAATATTTTATCCATTTTTGGTGTTTAATAAATTAATTAGTAATTTATATAAATTTATAATCTTCATAATAAAATAATTTAATTACTTAAATTGATGAGAAAATTAATAATTAATTAAAGGATTTTTTTGTTGAACAGGCAAGAGGAGGGACCAACCATCATGTTTATGGATGTTCTTAATGCGAGCAATGTTCAAGTAAATGAGTAATAAACTATTATTATTATTATTATTATTATTATTATTATTATTATTATTATTATTATTATTATTATTATTATTATGTACGAGAAGTACATGAGACATGAATGTTACTTTACGATATTGTTATATATATACAACATTAGATATATGTTTGATGAAATTGTATCGGCCCTGTTTGGTAAAACATTAGTCAATAAGTCAATTTTGACTTATTTAACCACTATTAATTGTTTAATTTAGTTAAAATATCAATATAAGTGTTTGGTTAATTAACTTTTTGCAATTCTAAAATGCTAAAATTAAAAAAGTTACTCTAAGCAACTTTTTTCAATTAGATGTTTTAAAAAAGAAATTATACCAAACAGCTATATATAACAGTTAATTTACCAAACACTTTTATATATATAATAGCTAATGTTATCAATTAGTTATACCCTCTAATTAACACAATCAGCTAACAGCTAACGTCACGATTATCATTTATAATCGTGACGTGACACGATAGAATTTTAACATATTTAAATATTTTGATTGGATTGAACAATAGTAATATGAATTTGCAGGGAAGGAATGATGATGGGAATATGGAAGAGGTAGCGGATGCGACAATGGGTTATTATGCAAATAAGTTTCTTGCTACTGAGAATTCCGCTCACGAGGAATCTGCTAGTACGATGTCGTTTTCCTCCCACACCAAAGCGTGCTCGGAACCATCCTCCAACAATCTCTATCTTGACCTCACTCTCGGTTAAATATTGGACTTGTTTGTCAAATAGCGGTTAATAGATAGTGTTAACAGTTAGCAAATAGCAGTTTATGTTAGCGAGTTTGACCAGCGAATTGTATTAGTGATTTATAAAAAGATGTTTGATAAAATTAGCGGTTTAATGTTAGCGATTAACATGTAAAATGACCTAAAAGGGTATACATATATTTCATAATGGCTCCCTTTATTTTTTATTTAATTTCTGTTATAATAATAATAATAATAATAATAATAATAATAATAATAATAATAATAATAATAAATTAATTATTATTATTATTAATTAATAATTTAATAAACTAAAACAATAATTAAATAATAATAATAATAAGAGGAGCCACACGGCTCCCCTTATTCTTCCACTTTTTTCACATTGGTGGGAAAAGTAAAAATTAAGACTTGAGGCTCTTATATAAAGGAGCCTCAATATTCAAAAAAAAAAAAATATAAAGGAGCCTCAAGTCTCAAATGTTTATTTGTAATTAATTAATGGAATTTGGATGGTAAGGCACTGAGGCTTGAGGAGTTTTCTCCTCGGCTTGCCTGTTAATTATTATTATTATTATTATTATTATTATTATTATTATTATTATTAATATATAGTTGGGGGAATTTTGGGGAAAGAAATTTCTTTTAATTTCCCAAAACGTCAATCCCAAACGCTGCTCCAAGCAGCGTTTGGGATTTCAACGGTTTGGAGCACACCGCTGATTAACCAAATATGGTATTTGGTGTTTTTACCATAGTCAAAACGTCAAAGATGGTGGATCCATCAAAAAATTGGTGGATCCGTCATTAACCAAACATGCTCATTATGTTTAAAAATCTCGTTGTTGAGTAATATCATTTTATAAATTTATGTTAGAAAGTCACAGATATAGGCATGTTTGGTAAAAAATAGTTAGCTTATCAGTCAATTTTAGTTTATTTGATCACTATTAGGGTGTGTTTTGTTCGCACATAGGAATCAGAATCGGAATCGGAATGGATATCAAATACTTGGTAATGGTAATGAATTTTAGGGAACGTATTTTGCATGTTTGTTACGTATGATCCTATAATGGGAATAAAGATTTTAAAAATATGAGAACACAAAATCAAGACAATTGATTCTAATATAAAGACATCCAAAACACCAATATGAACAGAAAATAAAAACAAAAATCTAAAAGCACTAATCAAAGGGGATCGGATGAGACGGAATAAGGGAATGAAAGGGCATGATACCAGATAAGCCTCAAAATATACTAAGTTTTTAGTAGTTTTTATAAGGAATTGTGCACTAGTTTTGACTTAGAAGTCGTGTTTTTAGAGTAAAATATTGTAAAAGTACAAGGTTAGCACAAAAATCCTTCCCGGTTTACATTTTATTCATTTTCATGTATTTTTGGACAGAAAACGTGGTGAAAAGATCAAAATGGGCAAGACCGAGACAAGCGCGCGAACGAGGACCGAACACACCGGGACTACGCATGAGAAGAAGGACGAAATGAGAATTACTTCCCATTCACGCTCCTCCTCACGGCGTGAGGACCCCGTGAACGGGAAATAAAAGTGGTCGAGAAAGCTCCAAGGTGGAAGGTTTATAGCCTATTCACGCCGGCCTCAGGGCGTGAGGCCGTGCGTGAATAGGATGACGAATATTTAAGGAAAAAAATCAGCATTTGAAGGGGAATTCAATTCTATTCAACAATTTTAGAGAGAAGTTTCTTAGAGGTAGCTTTAGATTTAGGATAGTTTACATTTTCTTTTCTAGGGTTTTAGCCTCAAATCTAGATACTTTGGAAGGAAGATTGAAGATCTAGAGTTTATAGCTTGGATCTCTCATTTCTCACCACCATTTAAAGGGATCTCGCTCGGATTGGGTGAAATCTAAACTCTATTCTCATTTACCTATCTTTTGCATTTCATCCATTTCCTTATTGCTTGATCTTGGTCTTTATTATGCTTGGCTAAAATTCTAGGGGCAAGGTTTGTTGTTTAGACTGCATTTGATTGATTTGTATTGTGATTTTGTGATCTTTGGTGTTGTTGGCATGTATGACTTGTTGGAAGAGTAATTTTGTTAAGACTATTGTATGTGAGTGCACCACATGCTTGTAGATCTAGAAAGGATCGTGTTGTCTGAGACATAATCCTAGCCCCCGTCTCTTGCAGTTCCTGTCCTTCGATCCGAGAGGGCAAGGATCGAAAAGGAATGTAGGCAAGGTGTTCGATAGAATGCCTCGTAGAGAATGACAATTCCTACGAGAGGCGTATAGACCGGATCGGCTACGCACTAGCGACGCCATTCCTCTTGTCTAGTCTAAAAAATACTTTCTAATCGCTCAACCTTCGGTATGGCCACTCATGCAATGCAATCGAAACACAACCCGAGCCTGTTTCCCTTTCCCTCGTGTTCATTTTTCCTTTTTATTTTCAAATTGCTCTCTGGGTTCACTCTCATCTTGCTAATGCCCTTACTCAATCAAGACCCTCAAACCCAACCGACCTTATTATTAAGCGGACTTGACGCTTCTAATTTATCACTCTTTGAGTACGACACTCGGGGTGGTTCTCACTCACCCCGTTTTAACTCTTTACATCTCACATCCTTACACGACCCCATCACATCTAATCTTTTGACCAGGCTTCCTAAAAGAGAACCGTAAACGAAAAGCGTGTCCAGTCAATACCCTTATTTTATTTGGGTATGGATTTTCAATTAAGGGGGTATTTAAAACCCATAGTAGTGTTCTAAAAACCTATCAACCAAACAATACCAATCACTTTCATACTCACTCCTTAAAGCTAAATCTGTCAACCAAACACACCCTTAGTTATTTGACTTGGTTAAACAATCAATATGAGTGTTTGATTAATTAGCTTTTTGTAACTACTTATTCTTGATTAATTAGCTTTTTGTAACTACTTATTCTCCAAAATGCTAAAATTCAAAAAGCTGTTCAAAGTATATTTTTTGATCAGCTTTTTGAAAAAGTCATTTTGTATATAATCAGCTAACAGCTAACAACTAATTTATCAAAACACTTTTCTACCATCAATTAATACTATCAACTAGTCAAATTCACTAACTCAATTATTTAACAACCATTTACCAAATACCCAATTATCTCGTTACGTTATATTTACCAAAAATTAATCCTCGTACGTAACTTATGTATGTTCTGAATTTCCTTTCTCTAGATATGCTAATTCCAACCCCCCCCCCCCCCCCCCCCTTCCCCCTCTAATTTATAATTCAAAAAGGGTGAGTACAAAATAGGATTAATTTCACCAGAGGTCTATTGTTTTTTGTGGCAATTTCAAATTTGGTCTCAGATTATCGTTTTTGTAATTTAATATCTCAGACTATTATTTTTAAACACTTTTAGTCTTTTTCATTACTTTTCCTAATATGATTACTAAAAATCAGAAGTTACCTAAAGTCCTAAACCAATTAAACTAGTTGAAATCGGAAAAATAACAAAAGAAAAATATAAAAAAACAAAATGCACTTACTAAAAATAAGAAAAATTATGAGAATGACTGAAAGTGTCCAAAAAATAGCCTGAGATGTTAAATGACAAAAACATTAGTTTAAGATTAAATTTAAAATTGTCACCAAAAGAATAGATTTCTGGTGATATTAACTATTACACAATCGTCTGTAGTATAGGTAACTAGGTGGAATAAGCAGTGTACCATAATGTGTACTCAATTGAAGTCTTCTCATCACATGGGCAAACATTATTCATAAGAAAAGAATAAACAATCTCATATTTCGAACAATAATCCACCTTTTCCTACTTATTCCAAGTCCAAATCAAGAAAGTTGTCGTACCTCAAATGATCAAGTCTCTGAGACAAACAACTTTCAGTCTTTTTGTAAATTCAACAAAGAGAGAATGTACTTTTATTTCAGTCAAGCCACCTATGTAAATTAAAAATAAAAAATAAAAAATACACCTATAATAATATTTTATTTATAAAATTATTATACAAAATTGAAAATTGTCTATCATATCGCTTTCTAAGAGCATCCGTAATAGTGGGGATATTTTGTGATTTTTGAGGAGTTTTTGTAAGTGTGATTATGAAAGAGAATGTGGGAGGGGAGGGTAAAAAGGAAAAAAAAACTAATTTTTTTTTTAAAAAATAAATAAATAAACTACTGTTAGACGCGCCGACACACGCCACTACACGCGCCCGACTTTGGCCAAGCTGTGCGCGAAACGCACACAACGTTTCTTTTTTTTTTTTTTCTTCAGCTTTTTGCAGGGTTACTGTTCCAATAACCAACTCTTTGCAGATTGATGAGTGTTAAATTGTGTCACTTTTATGGGTTAATTAAGAGTTATTTTTTGCGTAATTACAGTCCTTCAGGCCTATTATATGCTTAGAATAGCTTAATTTGATTAAAGTTAGGCATAAGGACTAGTTTTGATTATATTTGTGAAAATAGCAAAATATTGACAATTTTAGGACATTTCGGAAGGAAAATCATATCTGGAGCTAGGAGTGTCCGATCGAGGTGATTCAGGTTGTCATGTATCAATATCGAAAATATCTACAACTTTCATGAAGACCACGAAGGCTAATTCGGGCATCTAAGCAGTCGAAATCAGCGAAGAAAGCATCAGGAGACCCATTTACGCGAACTATCACGCAGTAACGTCAGAGTAAATGGGAAATAATGTTATTTCCCATTTACGCACTGTGTCACGCTGCAAGGCGCATGTAAATGGGAAATAATGGGCTGAAGGCAGTTTTAAAGGGCGAAAATTTTCATATTTGCCAGAGAGACTTCATTATTTATTTTGCAACTTTCTCACTCTAGGGTTTTTTAAGTTAGAATATTTTCTACCTTCTCTCTAGAAATTAGATTCCTTTCACCTTCTTTCACTTCCATAGCTTAGATTAGTCTAGTATTTCATCTATAACTCATCTACGAAGCTTGTAATCATAGATTGGAGTGGGATTGAACCACAAATTCTTCGTCTTCCCATAGAGAAGTTTCTTACTCTCCTTTTAAAGCTCTTTTGCAATGTTTATGCTTTATATTTATGTTTTTGTGTTCTTTATGCTATTTAATCATGTGTAGTTAGTTTATGGACTTAAGTTAGGGTTGTATTATCTTTCTTGATGCTCGATTTGTGATTATTGCAAAAAGGGGGAAGAATACTAACCTAGGGTTCTTGAGTTTATGAATGATTTGTGTTTGTATATATGTTTTTAATGTTTGATGTACACATTCATTAGCATGCTTTTGGAGAATTCTTGGCTACAATGGGAATTGGGTTAAGGATTTTAGTCATCCTTTGCATAAACCCAATTTTTCCTATGAAAATGGGAGGAATTGGGGGCTTTAGATGCTTTGTGTGCTTGATAGACTTGGAATTGATACGTCACGAGAGTGGGGCAATTCCTTATTCTAATTATTGTTTATTAATCACGAGAGTGGTTCGTATATTAGGATACCTACGTGTATTCCCTCTTGATTCCTTGATTATTTGTTCTCCCTAATCCCATAGGTTGTTGAGGTATATATATCTAGATGATAATGCTCCCTAACTTGAGTCTTATTTCTTTATTTTGTGTTTATCTTTGTGTGTATGTGTTAGTATTACCATTCCTTAAACTTCCAGTTTACTTAGTTTCTTGTTGATTTCCTTATACTAGTGCCTAGTTTATTGTGATTGCATATTGAGTGTCATAACCCCCCAATCCCCTGATGACAACATTTCACACCCGTACACTCACCATCACTCATTTTTGCTACATCACAGATGAACCCTCCCACTCTTTCTCCTATACTCTCTCCAATTTGTCATAACTTTTGCTAACATTATCTCCTAAATAATCACTAGTATGGATGCTTTAAGCCATCATTACATGCCAGTGACATGATCACCATTCACCTTCTTCAAACAGAAGAAGAAGGTGACTAATTCCCATCGTTACTTGTGGTGTTTATAAGATAATAACATTTTAACAATCTACTATACTAATAAGAGCCCAAGAGAGTTAGGCCTATAATGGGTAGAAAAAATGGCGGTCAAATTTTTTAATCAAATGAATGGCTCAGATTGATCAGATTTTAATTTTTCCTTAAGATTTCCTAATTTATCCTTAATGAATATGATTATCCCTTAACTTTTCCGTTAAATACTATCTTTTCCGTTAATTTCTGTTAGTTCACCGTTAACTTACTCATTGATTTCAATCAGAAAGGCATTAAATAATAATTTAGTAGCTACAACAAAAAATAATACATATGCATTTTTTTAATTTAGAATTATGTGTCTACAATGTCTTTATTCAAAAAAATTGTCCATTATTAATAAATTAAATAAGAGAAATAATTTCATTAGTTATATTGTCTTTATTTTTCTCTAATATAAAAATTCTTTACATTCAAATTCATCAATTGATTATATTCGTTACATTGTCCCTACAATATCTTTATTTTAAAAAAAAAAATGCATTATCCATAAATTTATTAAGAAAAATAATTTTATTAGTTATATTGTCTTTATTTTTCTCCAATGTAAAAATTCTTTACATTCAAATTCATCAATTGATTATATTAACTACATTGTCTATTGTCTTTTTTGTGCATTATTTTTTTAATAAAATATCAAAGTTATAACACAAAATAATGCTATATATTTATTTACAAAGTATTTTATTAATACCATGAAAAAATTTTAAAAGTAAAGTTAATATCCAAAATGAGTTAATACCCAAAATCGTCCTCGACTATAGTGGTTTTTCTCAATTTCGTCCTAGACGACTTTGGTGACCTAATATCGTCCCAGACTTTTGTGTTTCGCTCAATTTAGTCCTAGACTTTTGTGTTTTTGCTCAATTTAGTCCCTCATTTGTTATTCTGTCTATTTGGTGTTAAATAAATAGACAATTCAGTAATTTTAATATTGGCATCTCTTTACTCATAGACATGTGAACTGCGAAATCCCTTTTTTTTTTACGAATTACTCCCAGAATTACTCCTAAAATTGCGAATATAAAATTTGATTTGCAGGTCCGGGAGTAATTCTGCGTGTAATTCGTACAAGAAAGAGGAATTTCGCACTTCACAAGTTGAAAGTAAAGAGAGATCAATATTGACATTACTGAATTGTCCCTTTATTTAACACCAATGTGATGGAATAACAAATGGAGGACTAAATTGAGCGAAACATAAAAGTCTGGGACGATATTAGGTCACCAAAGTCGTTTAGGACGAAATTGAGAAAAACCACTATAGTCTAGGACGATTTTGGGTATTAACTCTATCCAAAATTATCCTCAACTATAGTGGTTGTTCTCAATTTTGTCCTAAACGACTTTGGTGACCTAATATAGTCCCAGACTTTTGTGTTTCGCTCAATTTAGTCCTCCGTTTGTTATTCCGTCAAATTGGTGTTAAATAAAGGGACAATTCAATAATATCAATATTGACCTGAAAAAATTTTAAATGTAAAGTTAATATCCAAAATTATCCTCGACTATAGTGGTTGTTCTCAATTTCGTCCTAAACGACTTTGGTGACCTAATATAGTCCCAGACTTTTGTGTTTCGCTCAATTTAGTCCCCCGTTTGTTATTCCGTCAAATTGGTGTTAAATAAAGGGACAATTCAATAATATCAATATTGACCTCTCTTTACTTTCAACCTGCGAAGTGAGAAATCCATCTTTCTTGTACGAATTACACCCATAATTAATCTCAGGTCTACGAATCAAATTTTATATTCCCAGGTTTAGGAGTGATTCTGAGAGTAATTTGTTATAAAAAAAATAAATAAATAAATAAAAAGAGGGATTCACACTTCACATGTCTATGAGTAAATAGATGTCAATATTAAAATTACTAAATTGTGTATTTATTTAACAACTAATAGACGGAATAACAAAGAGGGACTAAATTGAGCAAAAATACAAAAGTCTGTGACCAAATTGAGTAAAAACACAAAACTTTGGGACTACATTAAGTCACCAAGGTCGTTTAGGATAAAATTGAGAAAAACCACTATAGTCGAGGACCATTTTGGGTATTAACTCTTAAAAGATATAATTAATAAAGCCAATCATATTAACTACTTGAGGGATTTGTTGACAAAGAGAATATTCAAATCACCCAACAAATTGAAGTGAGAACTATCTCGCAGTATCCTTGTTTGACAATCCGCAGTTAGCGGATTATATTAGCGGATTTGAACAGCGAATTATATCAACGGTTGGTAAAAAGATATTATAAAAAATTAGCTGTTTAGATTAACATGTAAAATGACCTAAGGGTATACATATATTTAATAATATAATAATAATAATTGTTTTAAAAAATAAAGCCAATCATATTAACTACTTCGGGGATTTATCGACAAAAAGAGTATTCAAATCACACAACAAATTGAAGTGGGAAACTATCTCGCAATGTCCTTGTTTGGCAATCAGCAGTTAGCTCTTCAATATTAGTATATATTTAATATTTTATGCCCTAATTTTTATTTGCTCTCCCTTATGTCCTGTATTTGGTTTCAACCATACATATACAATTATTTTATTGACAATTATAATCAATCTTGACTATATTATCTTGTATGTGTAAACTTAGAATTACCTATTTAAATACGCAAATTCAACATTCAATTATCTATGCATGAACAATTCCAATATAATATTATCTTGATATATATACTTTAAAGTGCTTATTTTTAAAAAAACATTGGGCATTATCCCAATCGCGCAATGCGCGGAAAAAACTAGTATTAAAAATAAACAAGTAAAATATGTCATGTCATCGCTTTTTTTACTGGTAACCAAAAATAGAACTTGATTGTAAAATTTTATTGTGCTCAATTATTTAATTATAATTTTTTAAAATTTAAGAGCATAATTATTTTTTGTTTTTGATATATAGTTTGAAAGCATATTTTATCTTTTTTTTTTTTTTATGAAAACTTATGCATGAACTTAAAATAAAGATAACAATAATTGCTTATAGTTCTGTTTTTAAGGATAAAAGTATATAAATTAAAATATTATATGTACTACTTTTTCTAATATATTATAATTTTGAGAAATTATTTTTCATTTGAGAGTTAAAAGTATATACATATATAGGTTTTTTGAGTACCTATATAGTTTAACTTTGAAGAAACTCAATATGATTATTGGATGTTGAGATCTTTCAAAATAGTATTCTAAAACAAGAATATAACATAATAATACTTTTCTATAATATTTTTCATAATATATTGTGTGTAGAGGTTGCATTAGGCTGGTGTGAATGCACCCGCACGTGCTAACGTGAAACATAAAACTGCACCAATGTACCATACAGAAGACTACAAATATACACTATATGATGTGTAAAAGTATAACATAAAAAATGTATAAATTTTATAAGTGAATCATGTAAAACTATAAATTAAAGTGTAGTCAGTCATTCTTAAGTTGTACTTTTACATATCATAAATAAATTGTATTCGTTCTTGAGTGTGGTTTTGGTGTGAATAATCGCGTGAGTGTGAACTTGTGAATTCCGAACGAGATGTTTGGAGTGGTGCAGTGATGCATCTCGTTTGGTGATATATATATATATATATATATATATATATATATATATATATATATATATATATATATATATATATATATATATATATTTACCAAGTTAAAAAAATTATTAATTAGTTGTTTGTGATCCATGCATGCCTCCATGGTATAACAATGGGGGGAGGGGGGATTAGGTGGATCACTAACTTGTGGTGACATAAATCACCACCTATACATACATATATATATAAACCTCTAACTTTGGGAAGAATATATATATAAACCTCGATCAGATCAACGCTGTCATTGCGTTAGTTCAATCCGAATTCAACCAATATAATCATCACCTTCTTCTCTGATCCAATCCCCAATGGCAATCAAGATCATTCTCCTCCTCCTTTTACCTCTTGCCGCCATTATTGTTCCTGCAACAGCCGCCATCATGCCGGCGGCGATGAGTAAGTCAGCCGCCGCCGCCGCTGCCGGCGGTGATATGCACAAGATGTTCTTCCGCCACCGCGTCTTTCCTCCCTATCTTGGCGGACGGCCGGGTCTCACCCCTGGGGGCGGTCTGGGTGGAGGGTCGGGATCGTCATCTGGTGGTGACGCCGGAGCTGGCAGTGGGGGGCCGGGTGGCGCCGGAAAGTTCTCCCGTGGCATCCGAGCCGCCGGTGTAGCGTCGGCGGGCGATGTGAAACTGGGCGCCGCTTTCCCGGCGATGCCTTGATCGCCGGTAGAATAAATTGATCCTCACCTATGTGTTGAATAAGTGGATTATATTCACATACTAGTATTGTACCCGCCCCACGAATAAAAATTTTAATTTACAGTGTTATTGTAATAAAAAAAAAATTAGATTAAATATATTATAATAATTAACTATATATATGACATCACAATAGAATATTAGAAGATATTACAATACACAAAAAAGAATAATAACTCAAAATTTTGTAATTTTATTTACAAATTCTTAAAGACTTCATGGTAAATCACATTAGTGGTTGAAGTAACCCAATAGGGTAGCTCAAATGGTAAATGAACTCTTTTTGTGGGGGAGAATTTTGGGATAACCCGAGTTCATTTCCCACTGGGCCAGCTTCTGTGCCTCGGACCACAATGTGTGGTTTACACAAAAAAAAAAAAAAAAAAAATATTAGTAGTTGAAGTACAATTGTTTTAAACTCTTAGGATTTTCTTCAATATAGTTTGTCAAAAATTGACATTTCTTTAAATTTCTTTCCCTACCTACATGAAAGAACGATTCTAAATTATCTTAACGTTGAAATATATGGTTAGTCATGTAACAAATGAACATTATAAAATGTATAATTAAACAAAATGTACTACAAAAAAAATAAAATAAAAAATCGATCTACTAACCAATCGTGTGATAGGGGGTTTAAAAACTTTGTATGTTATCCAAAGTACCATGCGATTGCATGTTAATTGAAAAGATTAACCCAATTGATTAACACTATTTAATGATGATTTGACGAAACTCCCATCTTGCATTAAAAAAATTAAAAAAAAAAAAAACAAACAAAAGTATTTAAGACTAATGCACGGGTAAGAAATAAAAAAACAAATGTATTTAATGTGAGTACAAATTAGACCAGACACTTACTATTTATGAAGAATTCATAGATGGGTACCATAATTTCCTTGAAATAAACCATACATACAATTTTTAATTGTAGTAGAATGTGAACTAACTGTCTCTTTGGTGTCATTAAAAGAAATTGCGTTGTTTTGAATCACGATCTACACAGCTATGTCGATCATGGTCCATTGTATATTGTATAACTATTGAAAAATTACACTGACGATTTATTAGGGTATCTCGAATAGGAGGAGAAAAAAGGACAAAAAGAGGGAGATAATGATGGGAGGGGAGAGGAGATACATGCTCCTGTGAGAACATTATCTCCCGAGCATGTACGCTGAGCACATGGCGCGTGTACATCACACGCCAATGAAAAGGCGTACACACACCTTTTACACTCAAAGAAAGTAGGAAATAAGGAGAGAACCATTGTGAATGCCCGTAAAGAATATATTTTAAAAATAAAATTAATTTTCTAAATGGAAAAACAGGCTTTACGAATTGGGAAAGCCCAAACTAGAAGACCTTTTCTCAGCCCAGATTAAATTTGCAGCCCACCTAATAGAAAAAGCCCATTCGGCCCGTATTCATCATCGTATAGCCCAAAACCCCAGTAAAACCTCCGTCTCTCTCTCTCTCTCTCTCTCTCTCTCGCTAGTTCGCCGCTTATTCTTCAATCTATTGCCGGAAAGAGGAGAAGAGGAAACGGAAAGGGAAGCGGAAAAGGAGAATGGCGGATGTGGTGCAGTACAAGCTGGAGCGGATGCTCCCGGAGCTGGACGACCTGGAACGGCGCGGCTTGTTCAGCAAATTCGAGATAGGGGAGATTGTCAAGCAGCGCCGGAAGTTCGAGTACCGGCTGAAGAGGCACAGCCCGCTGAAATCGGATTTCATAGCGTATATTGATTACGAGAAGCAGCTCGACGCTCTCCGCCTCCTGCGGAAGAGAGCTCTGATGAAGGAGGACGGCCACGCAAAATCGAAGAAATCGGTTTCGGATTTCTCCGGCGTTGCGAGGATTGTGGAGATATATCGCCTCGCTACGAATCGGTTTAAGGGCGACATTGAGCTCTGGTTTCAGTATTTGGAGTTCTGCAGAGAGCGAAGAAATGGTAGAATGAAGAAGGTAGAGTATATATACATTCATTAATTATTCATAGTTGATGAGTTTTTCTCACTCTGACAATGCCGAATTCGAATTTACAGTGGATAGCGAAAAGTATTATGGAATGAGTTCCTTTGCATGCTCAAATTGATAGTTTTCACTTTTTGAAGAAGGGATTGGAAACTATGAAAATATTAGAATGTGCTGTTATCACTTGTCCACACTAATCAAACAATAATTATACTAGTCTCAATAGGTTTGAAATTTAAGTCCTTAAGTGAAATATATTGTTGTTTATAACAGTTCTACTTTTATGGGAAACATGGTGAAGCTGATTAGTTCATTCTGAGATAGAGTTTGTTTGTGCTGGTTTTCGTTTTGGATTGTTAAAATCTTGAATTCATAAGAAAAATTCCTTATCTCTGTGCTTGTTTGTCACACTTAAAGAAGTGATATCTTCGCAGGTATAAAGCATGACCAAGTACAAAGAAGTCAACCAAATAGAACTCTGAAGATGCATGGTTAAAAGAGATAAATTTTCTTTATCTGTCACTGAACGTTGCTTTATTTATGCTGCTTGCTTAGTGCATGCTTTATAGTTCAGTCACTGATTGTTTTTCATGTCTGAATATTTGGCTGGGTTGATGGTCTTCCACTGGAACCTTTGTTGGATGTATTATTATGTGAATACATATGCACTGTGATATTTCAGGAAATAATTTGGGTGTTATATTGTGAGTGTTTGTAGTTTTACTGATCTACACCTTGTTGTGTGACTAATGCCTTCTTGTTTATTTTTGCTTCAATAGGCTCTGGTTGATGCAATTAGGATGCACCCAACAGTGCCTGGGCTTTGGATTTACGCTGCATCTTGGGAATTTGACCAAAACTTAAATGTTGCAGCTGCTCGTGCCTTGATGCAACGTGGTTTTAGAGCATGCCCAAGTTCTGAGGATCTATGGATAGAATATCTTCGCATGGAGCTCACCTACCTTAATAAATTAAAGGCTAGAAAAGTAGCTCTGGGAGAAGATGTAGGCACGCTGACAAACGATCAGAAAAATGCAAAAGAGAAGCAGTGGAGAGATGAGAACAAAGAATTATTTATGTCCCTTGATGATGAGATTAAGGATGACAAAGCATCAAATCCTCAAGATGCAGAACAAAAGGACAAAGTTGATTTATTTAAAGAGCATGGTTTTAGCATTTTTCAAACTGTATACAATAGTGCTATTGAAGCCATCCCTTCTAGTTTCAGCTTAAGAACGCGATTTCTTGAGATACTAGACGCAACAGATCTAGCTCATTCAGAAGATATGCAAAAACAGATACTTGATGATTTGAAAAAGGACTTCTGTAAAGAACCAACATATTGGGACTGGCTGGCAAGACTGGAAATGTTTGGTCTTAAAAACGTGGAGAAGGTTTCAGAAGGAATGATCTCTGATCGTGTACGTGAAGCAATTCAGGTAAGGTCACTCTAAAGTGGTCAGATTTTCATATGGGTTTGGCTAATTATATTGAATATCAACTTTACTTCTTTTCTTATGCTTTTTACTTCCAGTATTTACCTTCTGTTTCCCATTTCTTTTCCTTCTTGGTGTGGAGCTTAGTTTGTTCACTTAGTTATCTGGTTGCTTTTTGGAATACTTTTAGGTATATGAGGAGGGTTTAAAAGTTGTGCCCTCAGCCACGATGTTTGAACTTTATGTGAAGTTCTTGACAGATGCCATCCCTTGTGGAAATGGAGATGGTAAATCTTCTGATAACTCAAGCAATCATGTTGGTGATCCCATTGCACAGCTGTTGATGGTATATGAGAAGGCTGAAAGCATGGGGTGCATCACTGAAGCTCTTGCTTGTCAACATGTTTCTTTCCTTTTGCAACTGGGAAAGCAAGTTGAAGCCAAGACACTGGTAGAAAAGTTTTGTACAGGAAAATTTTCTGAAGCAGTGCATTTATGGGCATTACGGCTCTCCATAGAAATGATGTGCACTGAAAATGGGTTCTCTTCAAACAAGGCTGCTCTGTTATCATTCTTTGAACTCCTTAGGAATGTTCTAATGAAGGTTTCTATATCAAAAGCAGAAAACTTGTGGCTTATGGTATGCAAAAGCCTTTCAGTTCTCTTGCTTTTAATTTTACTTGGGATATGCCCCAGATGTTACTAGTCTTATTGCTTCCCATAACACTGCTAATGAAAAGAGCTTTGTGGCTTGTGAAATTCTTAAATCATTAATAATTTTTAATTGCATTACGTGAGCCCTCAAGTAACCCTTTTTTTTCTGGTAAATATGTAGGCACTCAAGGTTTTTTCAAGTCATAAACAGATTTTTGACAAACTGATAGATACTGCGGTGGCTTTATTGGCTAAAGATGGTGGAAGTGATGGTGGATTTTCGCTCTCTTCTGCCATTGTAAATTATGTTCTACAGAAGGATGGACTTCGCAGTGCAAGAGAGATGTACAGGAGGTATGTTGTGACATTTAATGCAATGATATTTTAGTACATTCTAGAATTCGAGTTTGATGTTTGCTTATGCCTTTTAATTTGTCTGGAGAAGCTGATAATAAGCACTGCAGTTTTCTTGTTCCAGATGTTAGAATACTGAGCTACTCTACTTTCCCATCTAAATGCAGATTTATCGCACTACCACACCCAGGACTGTCAATATATAAGAATTGCATTGAATTGGAATTGAGCATTGTGTCCACTGGTGATGAGGGTTCTCTTGCAAATGCCCGCTCACTATACGATGCTATGCTGACAACATATGACCAAGATGCAAACTTGTGGCGAGACTACTACTCTATGGAGGTTAAGGTATGTTCGGTGCATCCCTTCTTTTACTGTTTCATTTGCATAGGCATATGAATTTGAATACACTCTTCACTTCTCAGTTTGATCAGTGACATTAGTATATTTCTCTTTATCCATAATGACCTTCTACCCCTATAGAGAGCTTATTTAACGTGAACTTCACAAATGTCACTCACATTGAACTTAGAGAATGTTTACTTAACGTGAACACTCTTACTCTCCGGAATTGATCATTGGCATTAGTATATTTCTCTTTATCTGTAATGACCTTCTACCCCTATAGAGCGCTTACTTAACAGTTAACATGAACTTCACTCACATTGAACTACGAGATCCTGCATGTGTTCTGGCTTATCTACAAAACAAGCCTGTCTCAGGGTGTCAACATTATGCATTTGAGAGTTACTATATACTGTGCTGTTTTATTCAGTGTTTTGTGTATTTTTCGTTGATTTCTTGTACTATATTTTCAGTTTGGAACATTGGAAAAAGCAGCAGCAGTCGAATGGCGTGCACGAAAAACACTCAACAAAGGCTTCCCACTACTCTCAACGGTTTAGAGTTCAGGCTTAAATTTGTGTATGCTAACCACAGAAATTGTGTTTTCTTTTTCTTTTCCCCTGTTGTTGATGTTTTGAACAACTACCGAGTTCAGTAAAGGATTTTTGGCTAAGTTTGAATCCCCTCACCGCAACTCCGCCCATCCTAGAGATTGGCAGAGGAGATAAATTGCGGGGAATGTCTCAACTAGCCAACAATCTTGTACACTAATGTTGTCTTGTTAGCAAAGCAAAGTTTATAAACTTATTTTGATTTAGTTGACCAGTTGAACCAAAGCAAAGTTTATAAACTTATTTTAATTTAGTTGACCAGTTGAACTATATCTTGCCGGAACTTATGGATATTTTCTAAAATTACAGAAAAGTACACTCAAAGGTCTCAAAGTGAAGGGTAGAAATGAAACTCATGTAATCTTTTGGTTCACCTGTACTACATAATACGGACAGTTTTCACAAATGATTTCCACTTAGTAATGAAATGAATACATCTCCTGCTTCTCCATACAAATCAGGTAACCTCTATTTTATGTGTAGTTTCTTGTGTCAGACTTTTGGCCATTGTGGACTCACAACCTACAGATTCAAGTAAACAACTAAAATATCAGACAACGAAGACACGTTCTCAGGTAATGTTCCTCTCGAGATCACTGAAAACTCACCTCGAGTGTACTAAACACCAGTCTCATCCGGCTCGCCACCACTGAGGCCTCTTCGGCTTGTCCCACAACTGCCATTTGCTCTAGCTGAAGCGTTTTAACCGGAAGCCTTTATACAAGAAAGCAGTATGTTAGTTGCATATTTTACCTACATGAGAGGGAAACTGCAGTCTTTCAATTTGATGTGTGGACCGACGAATCCTCCCTCCCCCGACACACAAGAAGAGAATAAAAGGAAAGAGTAATAGAGCTCACCACGCCATTCCTCTCATGAAATATGCATTAGCTATAATTGCACAAAACCCTTTCCACTGCACCATCATTTCATCCGAAACAGGAGGAGTGGACGACCATCGAACTATGGTCGGTTGTGGCGTACACAATATCGTGATGAATATGATGCTCAACCACAAAATACACTCGTCAACCTGGAAACAATTCACTGATGTAGACCTCGAGAATATCGTAAAAAGGAGAAAAACAGTTCAACAACACGAGTTGACTAACTAACCTCACTCGAGAAAATTTTGGACTTCAGACTCGTACTTCCACCGTACGTTTGCATTGCTTCAATCTCGACCCCAGATTCCTTCAGAGCAGTAAGTTCTTTCCTTAAACCTTCATCCGTACATCCCAGTGCATATGCATTTACTCCCGCACTGATGAACTCCTAAAAGACAAGGGTTTTAACGAGACGACGTATTTGAATAACAACTAACTGACCTCATACGAGAGTAAGAACAGCAACCGAATATACTTTTAGATTGTCACCTCCTCCACGCTCAGCAAAATACTTGTATCGTTTGAGCAGGCTGATAGCTATGTTCCTCGAGGATCGATACTCGTTCTCAGGCGATATAGCATCTTGCGAATGACACTGCAACAGTTGCAATAACAAATAAAGCGGGACAGACAGATACACAGAAAGAAAAGGAGGCTCGGTAGAAGGTAACGCTTACCAGCCATGTCCTCAAAGTGGAATTTTGCGAGAGATAGAAGAGAGGCTTGAACTTATTAGCATAGTTCAGCGAGAAAGGGCAACTGCGAGCCCCGTTATTGGGACCACAGTGGAGGCTCGAAAAACCGTGAGTACTAATCAGTGGATTAACACGTTTTGACTTGCAGGGAGACGTCTCACGCAGCACATTGACATCCCAAGTCGTTTGATGACTCGAGGCTCGTGGAATCTGAACAATTAGCATGGTTGGACCATGATCCGCTCACCTTTTGTACGACAACAAAACAAAAAAGTATTACTCTCGGGTGCCCTAATTTAAATTTAGTACTCTTGAAGCAGGATTCAACAAACTACTCAAAGCACCAAAAGCAATATTGTGTCAAGTGGAGGATATAAACACAGCACTACTCTAACATATTCTTGCATAATACTATAATCTTTAGAAGTTTGATATTTAGATTAACCCTCTTTCTTGTTGACTTCATCTATTATTACTACCTTTGATTTAGTGGAAAGCCCACAACTGCTATCCAAATGTGCGCTCTAGGTGAAAATTGTCCAAGGTAAACCAGCCTAAATTACCCATAGCTGACCAGCTCAAATCAAGAAGGCCAATGTCACAAGGTAAACCAGCCTAGATTACCCATAGCTGACCAGCTCAAATCAAGAAGGCCAATATCACAAGGTAAACCAGCCTAGATTACTCATAGTTGACCAGCTCAAATCAAGAAGGCCAATATCACAAGGTAAACCGGCCTAGATTACCCATAGCTGACAAGGTCAAAACAAGAAGGCCAATAGACAGCTCTCACGAAAAGTCAAACTTGAAACCCCGTGATTACTAGGCCAACTGTCCGACCAACTTGGTTGGGGTGTTCTTATCCACCATCCATATGTTTCATCCAATGTAAAGAATTGTACTAATGTTTGTAGCCATATCAAGCTAAAACACTAACAATCCCCAAAATCTTGACAACAATTGTTTCTATTCACATCCAAGAATGGAACTTTCCAATATCCTAGGATTACATTTTCACAAAAGAGATGTTTCCCTTCTTCCCCAACACTAAAATTTTCTCATATTGACCAAAACCCCAGACCATCTGGCCATCTTTGATCCACTCTTATCCACCCCTAAATCCTAATTTATTCAACTCTTAATCCTCCCTAATCTGCAAAACAAAGCGAGGGTAATCAACAAAAACATTGATCATAGCTTGAAGCGCAATCTAACTTACCGTTTACCAGAAGCGATGCGATTCAGAATAGCTCAGAGGCAATACAATTCAATCAGAATTAAGAAGATGATGAACGACAGAGATATAGATACAGTGATATACACACGTAAGACGAGATTCTTGGATTTTATGTAATGAATCTTTTTCGAGGGCAGAGAAATTAGGAAAAATTTGAGTGAAGAATCTACTAGTGAACTTCCGGGGGCCACGAATTTTTATGTTTTTCTTTTTCTTTTCCTTTATTATGGGTCCATAATTTTTCTTGGTTTTATATAATTATCATATAAAGTCATGCAATTTTGTGTTTTTTTTTCCTATGTTAAATGCTATTTTTTGTAAATAAATTCGAAGTATTTATTTTTTGAGTAGTACTGACTTTGTTATAATGTAGTATCTGTTTATAATTACTTTCTCAATCTACTGAAGCACAAAGAATCAACACCGCCGTCATTGAAATTTAAGTGACTGACTATATTTATCACTTAATTCTCTTATTACTTTTAGAATTTTATTGCGAGTTTTGTTATATTTTTCTTTTATTATTTTTTAATACTCGATATTCGTTAATTTGTGAAAATTTTTACATTACGAAAATACTTGAAACATTATGATTATCAAAATAATTGTCTGACCAATTCGACTCAACAGTCTTTCACCAGTGCCCATTGAAGACTTAATGTTACAAGCTTATTGCGAAGGTCAATATAGATTTAGATAACTAAGATTTTTAGTTTCGTCGGATTATACACTTCTACACATAATATACTCAACCTAATCTTTCAATATTAGTGGCAAATAATCAAACCATCACTGTCATTTCGTGACAAGAATTGAATCCTCATCCAGTCGTTAAAACTAAATCTAAATAAAATTTTTCATCTATTAAACTAATACACCGAGCATATTGTAATGCATCTATTGGTCTAAAGCTATTTGGGCTATGGTACATTTCTAGATGGAGTGGGTTGCACATACAAAGGTGTACACATGTACTTTACATGCTATCCTTTCTCATGGGCTATAGCTAAAGGATAAAGTCACCAAATTGTATATGTGGCCTATTTTGACAAATTATACTATGGACCATTCATAAATAATCCTTTTTTTTTTATATGTATAAGAAGGTGAAACCCAGGGAATGCAGCCCAATGTGGGTTGTGTTTTTACATAAATCTCCAGAATGGAAATCCAGCTATATCATCTTCTAGACTACTCAGTATGACCTCTGGTGGTGAGTTCAGTATGTGCACGCCGGGAGGGAAATTTTTGGAGTAGAACGCGAGACGATCTGCGACTACGTTCTGTTCTCTTATTACTGAAATGATTTGCCACTTTTTGAGGCGTCGGAGTTCTTTTCTGCAATCTTCGAGGATGTTGTGAGCTGGGATGCGAGGTGGGCTGCATCCTTTCATGTAGTCGATGGCTAGTGCAGAGTCGCTCTCTATGATCAGGTTTCTATAGTTCTTGGCGACCGCTAGTTGGATTCCTTTTAATAAGACCCATGATTCGGCTTCAAGAGGAGTGCAATTGCCTATGTTATAAGTGAATCCTTGACACCACCTGCCCGTGCTGTCCCTTATTACACCGCCGCAACTGCCCTTGTTTGAGTTGCCTTGGACCGAGCCATCTACGTTTAGCTTGTGGAAGTTATCTTGCGGTTTTTCCCAGCACATTTGTTTCCATGAAGTTGCAGCTTGTGGTTTTAGCTTCCCTGAGAACCTGGTGAATGCTTTATCGATCTCCATGGCTTGAGCTTTAATCCATTGAATCTTGGAGCTATGAGGCTGGATTGAATTGTTGAACACTGCTTCATTCCGCCATTTCCAAATCCACCATAATGTTGTGGCGAAAAGTGAGCTGGAGCTGAAGGGACCTTTTGCATTGCCTTTTCCGGCTATGCCTATTTCTAGCCAATTTGAAAAGGGAAGACTTCTCGTCTTTTCGAAATAGCTTGGGAAGATTGCTTTCCAGATGATTTCTGCTAGCGGGCAGGAACGAAGAACATGGTTCTCATCCTCTACTAAGTCTCTGCAGTTCCAGCATTTGTTGCACTCGGTGAGTCCTCTTCTTTCCCTTAAGCTATTGGTCATAATTCTTCCGTGGGTTGTGAGCCATATGAAGGAACGGATTCGGTTGGGGACTCTTAATTTCCATATGCTGTTCCACTTTGATGCTTCGAGTGGATCCTCAAATGTGCTTGGTTCGTTGTTTGCTATGCCGTATGCCGAAGATACGGAGAAGATGCCAGATGCTTCTCTGGACCAAGCTATGGTGTCCTTTGCTTCTAGGTCTTTGACAATTATGAAGGACGCTATTCTGTTTATCAGATCTTCGGGTAGGAGGTGGTTCAGGTCGTCCCACGACCAACCAGAGTCCGTCCTCCAATAACTCGCCACTGTTCTGCTTATATCTGATTCCGGAATGACATCTGAGGCTGCTACCATCAGTGGTTCGTCGCTTATCCATTTGTCCTGCCAGAATAATGTGTCCATACCATTTCTCACGTTTTTCCTTACGCCTTTTTGTAAGACTGGTATGGCTTTGATGATTCCTCTCCAAGCGTTGGAGCTGCTGGATTTAGTACGCCAAGTAGAACAGTCAGATGACGAGATTGAGTACTTGGCCTTGAAGATTCGGATCCAAAGCTCGTCGTCCTCCTGCATAATTTTCCAGCCTAGCTTTGCTAAAAATGCCAAGTTCATTGGTTCCAATTTCCGAATGCTTAGACCCCCGGAGGCTTTGTTTTTTGTGACAGTGTCCCAATTAACTAGATGTCATCTTCTTTCTCCTTCTTTACTTCCCCAGAGGAAGCCTCTAATTAGCTTTTCCATGCTGTTGATGAGTCCGATTGGGAGAAGTGTGGACTGCATAGTGTAGAAGGGAATGGATGAAAGTACCGACTGTGCAAGAACTTGTCTACCTGCAAAGGATAGCGTTTTTGCCTTCCATCCAGCGAACCTTGACTCCATTTTCTCGAACAAACTTACGAAGGTTTCATTTTTTATCCTTCCGTGTAGGGATGGGAGGCCAAAGTACTTGCTGAGGTCGATTACCTTGGGTACGTTCACTGCTTGGGTGATTGCGTGTTGAACATGTGGATCCGTGTTGTTAGAGAAGAAGACACTAGATTTCTGGAGATTCATTCTCTGTCCCGACATTGCGCAGAATCTCTCCAGGCAACTTCTCATTACTGATGCTTGTTCCAGCGAAGCTTCTCCAAACAAGACCAGGTCATCTGCAAAAAAGATGTGAGAAATTAGAGGAGCGTTTCTTGCGACTTTGATACCTTTCCATTTACCCTTTCTGGCTGACTCCTCGATGATGTGGCTTAGTCTTTCCATGCATAGGACGAAGAGAACAGAGGATAATGGGTCCCCTTGTCTAACCCCTTTTCCGGGCTTGAACCATTTCGATTGCTGGTTGTTCCACAGAATCGACAGCCTTGAAGTTGAGATGCATTCCCAAATGATCCTTCTCCAAGCATGATTGAATCCGATTTCCTTGAGAGTGTTTGCAATAAACTCCCATGAGAGCTTATCGTAGGCTTTTTCGAGATCGATTTTCAAAATAAACCAGCCTGTCTTCCCTTTCTTGATCCCCATAAATAATCCTTTTTAATATATTGAAATTAGTTTTTTTTTAAGCTATATTGAAATTAGTTATTATATATATCTTCCAAAGGCTGAACCCCAACCCTAAGCGCCCCCACACCCCGGCCCGACAAAGCATTTGGGAGGATGTAAATCATGGTGACTCAACTGAACATGAACCATAGAGGCTAGACCGATACTCACTGCGCACAAGGAGCCCCCTCACTTTGAGAGGTTGCTCCCATAGTTATTATATATATATTTTTATCATAGGTGGTAATTCCCTTTTAGTTTAATTTTTTTTTCTTCAGAACATCTCTCTTTGATTATAGTATTATTTTGGCATGACTATTTTTATTTTTTAGTCCTTCATCAACAAAATTGTTTAAATTCTCTTAAATACAAGGACATTACGGTCTTCAAAAAGGAATTTTTTTTCAATAAAAATAAAAATAAAAAATTTTACGGGTCAACACATTTTGTATTTAAAAAGTCAAAATGTCATTGTATTTATGTCATTTCAAAAGTTTTGTTGAGAGATGAAAAAATTGGTCATGCCACAATAATACTAAGATCAAAGATGGATGTTCTGAAAAAAAAAAAAAAAAAACTAAAAGTGGATGTCACCTATGAATCTAAGACAAAAAATGAAATTAACTCTATTAAAATTTTATTTTTAGATAATACACTGAAAGTGAACTTGTCCTACACTTTTAAAATGCATAATACAACTGAACTACGTAAATAAAATCAATAAGAACAATGTTATTTTATTTTTATTTTTTACTTTTTGTAAAATTTGATTCGAATTATTTACATATTAACATGACATTATCGACAAAATTCAATAAAAGAACATTTATTTATTTTTATTGATTATTCAAAACTCGATCTATCATAAATAAATACAATAATAACACCGTGATTGTTACGAAATAAATTAACATTAATCTATATTAAGTAACCAACTGTACTCAAAATATTAGAAATGTGAATCGAACCAACCCGCGCACTTGAACTAGGTACCCACTCGAGCCATCTTTTTAGATAACGAGGAAAACTCACATACCGCCGATCATTATCCGAGGATCACAGATTCAATAAAAAATACATTGACAAAAATTAAAGTCATAACGTTCAGATAATCATGTTTCACTTATTGGTAATACGGGGCAATTTCGAATCCTCTTGATACAATGAAGAGTTACAAGTGAAAAGCACCCTTCATCTTACTCTCCTACCGCCGAACCAACCACACCAACAACAAACGAGGGGGATTGGGGCGTTGTTGAAAATCGTAGCACCACTCACTGAAGATGGGTCTCGATTTAGAAGGGAAAGCCTCATCCACCCACTATATTCCACCAGACATCCCCCTTTTCTTTAATCCCATTTTATATTTTATATATACACAAAAAAACAAATCTTTCCCCCCCTACCATAACATAAAAGGCCAATGCTTTTATCTCCTTCAAGATTGAGCGACTGAAGTTCCCAGCAGCTTTATACGGTAGTAAGTATTCTTGAATCCCCCTTTCTCATCTGACACTCTGATTCGTGTTGTCTGCGTTTTATCTGTTCTTTTCATGACTTGCCTTTCTGGGTTATTGGAGATCAGCGTGAATGTGAATCTGAGTTTGTTATAGAGAATGTTTTCTGGATCTGTATTGCTGGGGAATGGTTGGATAGGCCCAGCATTTTTGTTTTTGGGGTTGGGTTTATGAAAAGGGTTGAAATTTGGAATGGATTAGAACAGGAAAGATTGCATTTTGAACATCAGATTTTGATAGAGAGGAAACCTTTGATCTGTGTTGATCAGGTTTGACTCGGTAACCACAATGATACAAGTTCGAATTGGCCTTTTTGGTTTGAGCCCGTCAACCTATAGACAACTTAGGGTGGTTTAACTGTTTGTGATCCTTTGCCTGCTAGGGTCTAAAGGCGGGTTTACCCACTACCTTGAGTAGTGGCTACTGATTTCTCTCATCGCCCAAGAAAACCTTTGTATGTGTTAGACTAGGTTGTTGGGCCTCGAGTAGTGGTCTTTGATTTTTCTCGTCACTCAAAAAAAACCTTTGTATGTGTTGGACTAGGTTGTTGGCACGGGGCCCAGTGCCTCGAGTAGTGGCAGCTGATTTCTCTCTGTCACCCAAAAAGAATCTTCGTATGTGTTAGACTAGGTTGTTGGCACTGGGGCTTACCCAGTGCCTCGAGTAGTGGCTGCTGATTTCTCTCGTCACTTAAAAAAAACCTTTGTATGTGTTAGACTAGGTTGTTGGCTATGGGTTTGTTTTATACTCTTGGTGGGATTATAGTAGTGATTGTTATGGTCCATGGGTAGGTAGCTGAATTTAATCTTGTACTTTATGGTGCAGATACTATCATCTGATAGGATATTTTGTGAAGATGAGGGGAGGAGGATTGTGGCAACTTGGACAATCGATTACTCGCCGCTTGGTGCAGGCTGACAAGAAGACTATTGCTCGAAGATGCTTTGCCTCGGATGCTGATCTTAAGAAGACTGCTCTGTATGACTTCCATGTTGCCAATGGAGGCAAAATGGTGCCGTTTGCTGGTTGGAGTATGCCAATTCAGTATAAGGACTCGATTATGGACTCGACGGTGAATTGCAGGGAGAATGGCAGCCTCTTTGACGTTGCGCATATGTGTGGTCTGAGCCTCAAGGGGAAAGATTGCATCCCGTTCCTTGAAAAGCTCGTGATTGCAGATGTTGTTGGGCTTGCTCCCGGGACGGGGACTTTAACCGTTTTCACGAACGAGAAGGGAGGTGCGATCGATGATTCCGTGATCACCAAGGTCACTAACGATCACATATACCTCGTCGTGAATGCAGGGTGCAGGGACAAGGATCTTGCGCACATTGAAGCTCATATGAAAGCATACACGTCGAAAGGCGGGGATGTTTCGTGGCACATCCATGACGAGCGGTCTCTTCTCGCCCTGCAGGTTCGTTACCGTTTTTTGAGTACTACTGACTCTGTTACAATTCAGGTGTTAATGTTAGGGACTTCATTTGAATATGGATGTTGAAGAGTATTAGGCTATGCTAGTAATAAGGCGTTTCATTCTCGACCATAAGCTTGTGATAGCATAATCCGCTTTTTATTTTGTAACTACTTTCGTAGTTTCGTGTGAAATTTGCCACCATACTCTCCATTGGAAGCCTCTTCGAGGTTTCATGCCATTTCATGTTAATTCTTCGGGTGCAAAGAGGCTAGTGAATAGTGATATTTATAAAGAGTTTTCTTGCCACGTTTGGTTCAGGGTCCACTTGCTGCCCCGGTCCTTCAACATCTGACAGCCGAGGATTTAAGCAAGATGTACTTCAGTGACTTCAAGATATTGAATATCAATGGGGTCTCGTGCTTCCTCACAAGAACAGGGTAATGTTTCTTTCTGTGCTTATCCCTTTTCTCGCCTTTACTCATTTGATCGTTGGCTGTAGACCGTCACAAGTAATATCCGTACTTCGTGATTGTTTTCTTTACTTTGGGGTGACCAGGGAAACCCGCTGTCACTACCCGAGGGTGTGCACTAGTAAACCCTGCCTTGTGACCCTAGCCGGAAAAAGACCATAAGGAGGTAAACCAGCCTAGATTGTCTATAGCTGACTGGGTCAAACCAATAAGGTTGGGATTCGAATTTCGAACTCTTGACCTTCTGGTTACAAGTTTATATCTTTAGCCATCTTTGCGGGGTTACCCCATAATTCTTTACTTGTGGAAGTTCGAGTCGGATATAGACCGTCACGAACTAATCTCTTTATTTCATGGTTGTCGTAAGGTATACGGGTGAAGATGGATTTGAAATCTCGGTGCCTTCAGAACACGCAGTTGACCTCGCAAAAGCTATTCTTGAAAAATCAGAAGGGAAGGTGCGGTTGACAGGGCTGGGAGCACGAGACAGTCTTCGCCTCGAGGCGGGCTTGTGCTTATACGGCAATGACATGGAGCAGCACACGACGCCAGTGGAAGCGGGGCTCACATGGGCGATAGGGAAGAGAAGAAGGGCGGAAGGAGGGTTCCTTGGGGCCGAGGTGATCCTGAAACAGCTCGAAGAAGGCCCGAAGATCAGGAGAGTAGGCTTCATATCCTCGGGGCCACCAGCAAGGAGTCACAGCGAGATCCAAGACGGGAATGGGCAAAACATCGGGGAAATCACGAGCGGAGGGTTCAGCCCTTGCCTGAAGAAGAACATAGCGATGGGGTACGTGAAATCCGGGCTGCACAAAGCGGGCACAAACGTGAAGATCGTGATCCGAGGGAAGTCCTATGAGGGAGTTGTTACAAAAATGCCTTTTGTCCCAACAAAGTACTATAAGCCATCTTAATTTTTCTCTCTTCTCTGTCATTCATACACTTTTCATGTTTTCTCTCCTAACTGTAAAACTGCAGAAATGCTTCTTTTCTGGAAATGAACCCACCTGCAGACTTGCTTATATCTCCCAATTATGTCTCATTTTATGTTCAATGCTTGATCCAGCAGGAACTGGTTTTATGCTTCTCTTCAATTTATATAATAATAAACAGTGAGTTGTTATACCATGGACCAGGGCCCACCTTCAAGGTGAACCCTGGTCCTAAACGACGTATAAATTGTGTATTTTTAGTATTGGAGTTGTGAACTTTTAGAATATAAATTGTGGAGTTAATTCTATTTTTGGTCTTAGATTTATAGGTGACAGTCCACTTTTAGTCCGTTTTTTTATCGGAACATTCCCTTTTGGTTCTATTATTATTGTGACCTAACCAATTTTAGTCCTTCATTAACAAAATCGTTGAAATGTCTTAAATACAATGACATTTCTATCTTTTTAATACAAAGTGTGTTGACTTGTTATATTTTTTTTTGGGAAAATGACACTTTTTCCCCCTATGTTATATGCTTATAGCACTTTTTCCCCTGAGTTATTCATGCATCCACATTTGCCCCCTCAATTATTATAAAAGTGGCGGTTTTTCCCCCTGATAATATTAAATGGACGTTTTTACCCTTAAAATAAATATTTTATTTATTTATCTTCTTCAACAAATTATTGCTTATACGTAGGGATGGCCACGGTTCGGTTCGAACTGAACCGAACACTATAGCAATCAAATAAAAAAAATTCGGTTATGATTCATAACATAACTCAATATTTGGGTTTTTGTTTATTAAAATTGTGAAGTGGAAAAGAAAATAGATTCTGAACCGTGAATCGGAGCTTCAAATTGGAACAACTACTAGCAATAACTTAAAATTAGAATTATAATATTTGCAAATAGTGTATGTTTTTTCGCATTTATATTAACTCTCACATATAAGTATATATAATCGCGATTTGGTTTTTATTTTGAATCGTTGGTTCACAATTTCGGATCCAATTTGAACTGTTGGTTCAAACTTTATTTTAAATTTTTTTTAAAGTATTCTAAATTCAACAATTAATGTATTTTATTTTTTCAAATTGTGGTTATAATTTGTTGGAGAAGAAAAATAAAGGAAATATTTATTTTAAGGGTAAATATGTCCATTTAATATATCAGGGGGAAAAAATTGCCACTTAAATAATTTAGGGGGAAAAAGTGCTATAATTATATAACACAGGGGGAAAAAGTGTCATTTTCCCCTTTTTTAAAAAAAAAATTATAATTGAAGATTGAAATGTCATTGTATTTAAGGGTATTTAAATTTTAAACTGTTTTGTTGATAGAGGACCAAAATTGGTCATGTCACAATAATAGTGGACTGTCACCTATAAATTCAGGACAAAAAATAGAATTAAATTGTGTTTTTTTTTTTTAAGTCAAAACACATAACAGTTGTAGAAGAGAATTTATGAATACAATACAGAGTCATCAAATCTTAATATCTTAATATGTTAATAATTAATATTGTGTGATGCATAGTCATCAAATCCTAATAAGTTATTATTCTGTTAATATTGTGTGATACATAGTCTTCAAACTTAGCGGGTAGAGTACAATTTGTGTATTAGAAGGTCACATGTTCGATTTTTGTTAACAGTATCGGTCAAACTCATTACACATGATCTTTATAGTGCGATTAATCTGTCTTACTTGTTTTTCATTGGTCAAATCAACTATTTCTTTTTCGCTTATTTCTACTAGCATTTTCTTATAATTTTTAAATTTAATTTTTTGTGTTTAATAGTACTTTTAATGTAGTTTCTAAATATATAAATTTTACATACTAATTCTAAACTTAATATTATGAAAAATTAAATTGTAAATAACTTTAGACAAACCTTGTTAATCGAACTCGACACATAAAATGTGACAGAAGGAGTATTTGTAAGTTATTACAAAAAAAAAAAAAAAAAAAAAAAAAAAAAAAAAAAAAAAACCTGATCCAACATGAAGCTCTTGTGCAAATTATGCTGTGTATTCGTATTCACCATGCATGGTGCATACTGATGCAAAAACGATGTCGTTTTATTAAAAACGCGCGTCTCCACTTAAAAAAAAAAAAATTCAAGTTCGATTCCCAGCAACAACATATGAACTAAAATTCCAGAATCGATGAACTATAATTCCAGAATCTATGAACTAAAATTCTAGAATCTAATCTATGAACTAAAAATTCCATAATGAATGAACTAAAATTCCAAAATCTATGAACTAAAATTTCAGAATCGATGAACTACAATTCCAGAATCGATGAACTATAATTCCAGAATCAATGAACTAAAATTCCATAATCTATGAACTAAAATTCCAGAATGAATGAACAACATAATGCTGTTGCTGGGAATCGAACCTAACTTTTTTTTAAGGGGAGACGCGCGTTTTTAATAAAACGACATCGTTTTTGCATCCTCACAGCATAACTATTGAAGCTCTTGTGCCGGACGGTCGGACCCAGTCCGATGCTGTCCGGTTGACCCAATAACCCATTCCACAAAAGGGACAAAATGGGAAGAGAATATTCAGAATATTTTGTGGTATATTTAATTAACTAAATAGAGATGGTTGGATACACCGCAATGGGACGTGGCCATTGATCAACCTGTTTGTTCGGCAATGATCCATTACTGATCGCCTGATCGGGTCGAATTTCCATATTGTTTAGATTTATGGAGTAATTATTCATCCATTGTTTATGAATTAAAGTAAAAATAATAATCTTGTTTCAAAAAAAAAATGTCAAAATAATAATCTATCTATTAATTAAATATTTCGTATAAAATATCAATCAAATAGTGTTGAAAGGAGTTTCTTTCCTTTTTTGATGCGATATTTATGGATGATTAATATAATATGGAGGAAATAATAATATGGATTATTATTCATTAAGAACATGCTATATATGGGAAATATGAAAATTTTACACCAAAATTCTTCACAAGTGACAAAATAAGTATATTCGATTTTTTAACATAAGGTAAGATCGGTCAATTCAGAATAAATTTATTATCACATCAAATAGTGATTTTTTTTTTTTTAAAATCTTAGTAGCTTTATAATATATTCGAATTAATTATTGTTTATCAATATAAGGTGTAAATAAAACTAATGAAAATTATATAACCGTATAATGACATTTTTGCCCAAAAAAATTTGAAGATATTATATTTTTAATACAACATATCATTTTTTGAACACATTGGTAGGACATAATTCAAGGATACTAACGTTTGTTCTCTATCTAGATTGTCAAGATTTTTGGGGACAACCTAATTGAAGCATGTGCTTCATCTCAACTAAAAGCCTAAGTTATGGTTGGATTGCACATTAATGACTATATGCTCACAAACCTATAGTTAAATTGGTAGGACACTTAACTTAATAATTACAATGATAGGTAATAGTCTTTAACCATACGTATATTGGGATTTGCACAGGAGACCGAGATGGTTATTTCCCAAACACTTTCGATCACCTCGTGCCTTTTTCGATCCGAGCCTAACTGGAGAATAGCCCCTATAGGATTCGTAGCCGCATTCTATGCTCGGGTTACAACCTCCGAATACATACAATCAGGACAAATATCCCGAGCTCGAACCATTCTTTATTAAAGGAACTATTATAACCCGATCACATCATCTGACCACATTCTAATAATGCGATAGTCAGGAATCTCATAACACGTGGCCTCATCAGGACCTCATTGTGACCGGTGCATGCAAGACACGTAGTGCACATGCCGAACATTCGATATGTCCCCTCCAAACTTCTATATAAGGCGCATTAAATGCTAGAAGGGGGAACTTTTGAACTTTTATTCATACCATATTTTAACCTCGGGAACGTCTTATCACACACACAGCTACTCGAGACAATACATAATTCTCAATACAACAAACACAGTACTTCAACATATTTACCACATCACACAAGATTCTAAGTTCGTCTCCCTGTGGGAGTTGTTTATTAACTTTCTTGGTTTGAACTGGTCAATTATGAGTGGGAGTTGTTTTTTGACTTTCTTGGTTTGAACTGGTTAATTATGAGAAACCTAGACTAGCTTAGTTTATTACCTGGTAGGCTGGTACTTCTCGTAGTCTTTCGATAGACACAAATTTCACTTATAGCGCACATTCAGATAGAGATTGTGAACTTTTCAATAAATAGAAGACCTCAAATCTTTAGGAAACAATCCCTAAACCCTAAATAAAACCCTTATTCCAACAATATATTTGTTGTTAAAATAACTAAATAAGTCAAAAAAAAAATGTTCATAATTCCATACTTTAACCCTTCCCCAATTTTGAATAGGTGGTGGATCCGGGTTGTCCAAACGGACCCTCCGCCTCCTACAGAGTACAAGACTCCATGAAATTTCAACATATATGGAAGCCATGTGTAAAGCGCTTCACACTCAGCGTCTCAGTAACTGACCAGCGCGAGGGAAAGAAAGAAAGATTCCCTCTTTTCTTGGAGAGAAATGGGGTCAATAGCGAAGAGAGGCTTGCAGCAGTACCTGCTACAGCTCCAGCAACATCCTCTCAGAACAAAGGTCAAGCCTTTTTCGAATTTCTCAGATCTTTCTTTTCCATTTTTTGAGCTTAATTGTGATCTGGGTAATTTCAATTTCAATTTTGAAACCCAATTTTCAAAAATTTGGGGGTTTTTTTAATCGTTTGTTTGGTTTGATCATTTAGGGAGGTGGGGGTGGGGTTTTGGAGCTTCAGTTTTAATTTATTGAATATGGGGAATGAATTTCAATTACCCTTTGCAGGCAATAACTGCTGGAGTGCTGTCAGCAATCAGTGATATAGTGGCCCAGAAGATCACTGGCATTCAGAAGCTTCAAATCAAACGTTTGATTCTCAAAGTGGTAATTTTTTTTTTTTTTTTTTTTTTTGGGTATCCATTTTCTTAGTGTTTGTTATGTGCTGTGTATCTTTGTGTATATACTCAGTTGTACTGGTTTGTGGCTGGATTTCCAGTGGTATTGCAATTCGCAATCCGAACTTGTTAGGCAGGTCCACGATCCCTCGATTCCACGAGTTACTTATTCCCCCCGGTGCCAAACTATTTGTTATCCTACCTGAATTCAACTCGGTTTACCTTTCTCAATTTCCCGTAATCCAGAATGTTTTGCACTTTTGCCATGTTTTCGGTTTCATATGCTACTGTTTTTCTCCAGCGGGGTAAAGTAGACCGTGGCCCTGTTCAGGAATTAGCTCTTGACCGGTAGATATTATTCTATTGGTTTTTAGAATTAGCTGTTTGGCTTAAACTCTATCTACCGTTCAACGTTCATATCAACTTTTTGATCCACCAAACCTATAACTATGGTTTGAAAAGCTAGCAGCTTTGTAAAGAAGCTCTTTATCAAACGGGACCATCAATACTATTGCAGAATTTATTATACTTCAATGAATCGATGGGCTTTCCACAAGCTTTTGGACATGTGAGGATAAAACCTTTTAATTAATAAATAATATAATGATATACATACCAGAGTCTAAAGCAGATGATATTTCTTATTGTAATTATGTTGTTAGCGAAGTTTGTCTTTCACAATAAATGAAGTATGGTCCACTCATATGCTGCACTAGCTTTCTGAGGTTTAATTAGCCAATAATATTATGTTACTTTATATTGCTTTCTTTTGTGTCCTCCGGTCCCCTCGGTTAAATTGATTTACTATCTTTTTGAAGATTATTTTTTTTTTCTGACATGGCCATTGGATATTGTTTAGAGGAAATGCCGAATTCCTTGCATACATTACATATTAGAAAAACGCAATTGTGTGCTTCTGTAAATTCTTGTCTCCGTTTCTCTAACTTTGCGGTTTTCAGGTTTTTGGTTTTGCACATCTTGGACCATTTGGGCATTTTCTTCATATATTGCTGGACAAAATTTTCAAGGGCAAAAAGGATACTAAAACGGTTGCTAAGAAGGTAAACAATGCTTCTTTTGTCCAACATCCCCCTTCCTCGTGATTCATATCAACCTGCGGGTAAATAAGATATGGTAATATCGAGCCAATCTATAGATAACCTCGGGTGGATCTAAATTTCCGTTATCATTGATTTTTCTATCGTAAATAAGCCTGAGCTACCCATGACCTTTGGCATGGCTCTGATACCAAATTGAAGCATGTCCTCCATGTCAACTAAAAGCCTAAGCTGATAGTTGGATTGCACATTTATGCTTATATATGTTATATGCTCAACATTAATGTTTTCAGGTGGTGCTGGAACAAGTGACATCGTCCCCTTGGAACAACTTGCTTTTCATGCTATACTACGGGTTAGTTATCGAGGGTGAGTGCACAATCCCATCTAAACGAACTCATCTTGGACAAAAAAGCGTTAAACTTGTGAAATCTTACTTTAGCTAAGAACGTACTAGAGGTTTTGCCTGAACGAGTTTTGTAACGTTCACAGGAAGACCGTGGGTCCAAGTGAAATCTAACATTGCAAGAGAGTATCCGAAAGTCCAGTATACAGCATGGACGGTCTGTCTTTTTTTTTTTTTTTTTTTTTTTTTTGTTTCCTTCATATAATTATCTCGTGTGAAAGGATCACGCGTGCTAATATACCAAACCCAAATACGTGCAGTTCTGGCCGGTCGTGGGATGGGTGAACCACCAGTACATACCACTCCAGTTCCGAGTTATCTTTCATAGCGTCATTGCCTGCGGTTGGTAAGTTCCTTCTCCCGACATAGAACTGTATGTATTCCATTATCCGCAACTCTTTCAACCTTTTTCATTCCCACGGTGTCTCTTTTCGTTCTTTCCAGGGGGATATTTTTGAACCTGCGTGCGAGGACAATGGCAATCAAGAAAGCTTAAGCGTACCCGAGAAAAGCACACCTGGCTACCCGTCTCCTATATATGTAAGTTCAGTAGCATTGGATATCGTCGTAGCGTGTGATCTGTTGCTAGCGATAACATTTGTACTATACGCGTTATATGTTACATATCTATTCGGTTTGATGGTAGTGAAAACATTGTATTTGATGAGATTATGGTTAAATGATTCATGCTTTTCAGTTGAAATGAAATCCTTTATTATGGCCTAATAATAAGTTTTAGCAGTTCTGAGAATGTGGCTTTGAAATCCTTGTATATATCTTATGCTTCATGTGGTTGTGAATATGGAATTCAATTCATCGATAATATTCACATTCACCGCGTCCATTGCAGAGTACCCAACATACATACATATCTAGAACTGTTAATTTTGGATAGATGGATGGTTGAGATTGATCCTTAGTTTTTTCTAGATAACAATGGTCATTTTCCTATATACTTGATATGGGTTATAGTGTTATACTTTACCCGTATACTTATACGCGTGCTGGGTATCTGTACACGGGATCGGAAGGTCCATTTCCCGAGCATATCTGATCACCTTGTGTTTTGACCGACCCGGGCCTAGTCAGAAGATGGCCCCTTTAGGTTAGTAGAAGGCGCGCTTTGCACCCAGGATAAGATTCCTGATCTCATATGATCTGGAAGACTATCTCGAGCACCGAACCCTTATTACTAAAGGATCAATATAACCCGATTGTTTGCTCGATCACATCATGATAATGCAGGTGTCAGGAATCTCATAGCACATGGAACTATTACGATCGCCCTCATCGTGACCGGTGCATGGAGGACACGTGGTTAACATGCCGGACGTTCGGCATGTATCTCCCTAGACTAGACTTCTATATAAAGTGCATTAAATGCCTGGGAAAAGGATTTTTGGCACTTTACACAATACTAGTTAGATCTGAACTCAGGAACGTCTGATCACATATTTAGCTACTCAAGTCTCCATTTTGTGATCGAGTACAACATATATATACCTGTGTATTTGTCACATCATTTTGACGCCATCTATCTTTTTCTTATATAGAGTGGAGAATTCATGTGAGAATTGAACATGCTCTAAGGTAAAAAGTGAATGGTGATATGATAAATCCATTTAGGTAGATTAACGGTTGAGGGTTGCTGAAAAATAAAGAGAAAATGAGCATGTTTAGTTTTATAAATATTGCGAACTTGAAAGTTTATATTAATGTATAATTGTATAAAAATTATGATGACAATAGGTCATGTAATATCGGGTACCTAATCTTCCTGAACCCTAATAAGATCGGTTTAGATAGTTGGTCGGGTTTAGGACAAGTTCGAGTATGAGAAAGAAAATACTCACAATAAGTTCGGGATAGTAGAAAATACATGTATCTAGTAATATATATAGTATAAAATAATTCAGTCTATATAAGTTTAGCTCATTTATTCACTAGACAGTATTTGAGAGAAAAGAATAAAGTTTAAACTTTGATAATGACCATGTGTAGATTATACCTGTATTGGCAATTTTGAGTTCGTGAATAGTTCAATGGATGGTATCCTATCCGTTACCATCTGTAATAAAAATATCCATTGCTCAAAAGTGTACCTACTTTGAGAATACTTTCCATTTTACTTTTGTTATTAGAACACCTATTTAATTGTCTGCCGCAATTTACCAATTGATGTTCATCTAAATGGATGAGGGTGATGCCACCCACCTACCATACTCACGCAGTATATAATTAGCTTCTACGCATGGGCGTAGCTTAATAATTCAGTAGTAGTATTTAGGAAAATAGATCAAAGTTCAAATCTCAGCGATAACAGTGTGATAATTATATTTAAAATGGACAGATTTCTTGTGCGTATCAGCATTGGCTCTGTCTGTTGAGCCATTGAGTTACTGTGATTTAATTCTCCCGAAGCTCTGTTGAGCCGGGATGTGGAAGCGCTTGGGGTTGGAGATTCAACCTTTTGAGAAAAATATATAATTAGCTTTAAAATTTAAAAGTAGGTGAAAGTTCAGCAGTTTAATTACATTGTAAATTGATAATAATTATTAATTAATAAGTTACACTTGTTTAAAGTAAACTTATATATATCAATTCAATTTAGTCTAATATATATAAGTTTCAACTTTAAATTTAAGACACTTTAATCGTTTTTGCTCTAGAAACTAATAAAGGGACAAGATATGCTTTAACGAGCTGACAAGTCTCAATAATTATATCGTATATCAGGGCGCACAATGCACATTTCCAAAACGACGTCGTTTTGTTAAGTTGTGTGGGGAGTTGACACGACGGAGTTTATGTGTATTCTGTTAAACAATTATGCACATTTTATTATACAATTATGTACATTCGAAACATGAGTTTTTTTTTAAGAGTTAAAGAATTTATGTGTATTTTGTTAAGAGTTTATGTGTATTATGTTAGATAATGTGTATTATCTTTTCAAAAAAAGATTATGTGTATTCTGTTATACAATTATGTACATTCGAAACATGAGAATTTTTTTTAAAGAAGTTAACAGCAGACACGGGAAACAAAATTTCCAAAAACAAAAAGGTACAAAACGATGTCGTTTTGGGTTAGGACGCACAATGCATTATGCATCCTGGTGCACGATATAATTTGCGGACAAGTCCATACACTAGTGCCCACAAGTAAATCATGGGATGTGCTGGGTCGTTATGCTGTGCATCCGTATGCAAAAACAACGTTGTTTTGACCTCTAACTTTAAAAAAAAAAAAAAAAAAAAAAAAAAACAGAATTGCATAACTACACATCCATAATTTCATAACTATACATCCAGAATTACATAACTACACATTCATAATTTCATAACTATAAATCCAAAATTGCATAACTACACATCCATAACTTCATAACTATACATCCAGAATTGCATAACTACACATCCATAACTTCATAACTATAAATCCAGAATTCATAACTACACATCCATAACTTCATAACTACACATCCAGAATTGCATAACTAAACATCCAGAATTTCATTACTAAAAATCCAGAATGAATGAACTAAAAAATGAATAACATAATGTTGTTGCTGGGAATCGAAATTGATTTTTTTTTAAAAAGTAGGACGCGCGTTTTGATGCAAAACGACAAGTCCATACACTAGTGCCCACAATAAGCCAAATCTATACATCATTTGTTTTTAAAAAAAATTCTAGGTAAGATTTGAACTCTACACCTTACAGGTACTAGCAAAGTTAAATTTATGGTCTTATTTTAAATTTGTTGATCAGTACCAATATATATATATATATATATATATATATATATATATATATATATATATATATATATATATATATATATCCATGTACTAATTGATCCCTAACACCCGAGTTAATTAATTAACTAAACCCGTCACAATTTTTATTATTTGCAAGAAGAAAAAGAAAAAAAAAAGAAACTTGAAACAAAAAAGTGTTAACTTAGTTTGTTACACACAAATTAAAGTGATAAGTTGTACTTAGAAAAATGCAGGCAGGGATGATTATTGTGTCGTCGCAAAAGGCTATTAGCATTGAGAGCTGTGAAAAGCAAGATGCAGACGAAGACGATGATGGAGAGAGCAGAGAGTAGAAGCATCAAGGCTGAGGCCGCCATGGATTTCACTTGACGAGCATAGTGTGCTGAAGCTAACGCCAGGAATGTGAGTGGAAATGAATATGCCCACCATGCTATGTTGAATCTTCTCATCGACTTCTTGAATAATGTTGGCCTGCAAACCTGCATGTCCCGAGTTTGCGACAATATGGAGTAAAAGCGAGAAACTAATACTTTAGTAGAATAACTCAGAGTGAAAATATTGTCAATTACAAAAGTCATCGGGCCAAAGTAGAAAAAAAGAGTTAGTACTCAAAATTGTCCTCAATTTTGTCCTAAACAACTTTGGTGAATTAGTGTAGTCTCAGAGTTTTATATTTTTACTTAATTTAGTCCCAGACTTTTGTGTTTTTGCTCAATTTAGTCCCCCATTTGTTTTTCCGTCTATTTGTTGTTAAATAAATAGACAATTCAATAATTTTAATATTGTCATCTCTTTACTAATAGACATGTGAAGTGCAAAGTCTCTTTTTTTTTTACAAATTACTCTCAGAATCACTCCTAAACCTGCGAATATAAAATTTGATTCATAGGTTTGAGAGTAATTCTGGGTGTAATTCGTACAAGAAAGAAGGATTTCTCACTTCGCAGGTTGAAAGTAAAGAGAGATCAATAGTGATATTATTGAATTGCCCCTTTATTTAACACCAATTTGACGGAATAACAAACGGAGGACTAAATTGAGCAAAACACAAAAGTCTGGGACTATATTGAGTCACAAAAGTCGTTTAGGACGAAATTGGGAAAAACCACTATAGTCAAGGACCATTTTGGGTATTAACTCTAGAAAAAAATTATGAATAGTATTAAGGCGATAATCACATATATATAGTCTGTTGACTTTTGTGGCATTTTTACTTGTAATCTTTGACTATCAATTTTTTTTTTTAAATTTTTTTTATCACTAGTTATCCATTGATTTGAAACTTTTTACTATTTAACTCCTTTTGACGAGTTTTCAACCAAACATTACTTGAATTAATTGTTCTATGATGAGTTTTTCACCTATAATCTTTGACTATCATTTTTTTTTATACTATATATTAGTATTTTGACTTTGAGTTTATTATTACTTTTAATTAGTCTTTTGGTGAGCTTTCTAGCCAAACACTACATGTTGATTTTAAGTGATATTTAGCTGACAAATTTGCCAAAAAGATTAGAAGTCATAAGAAATTTAAATTTAAATAAATATTGACAATGAAAAATTAGGGTGTGTTTGGAAAGCAGGAAAATAGCATTTGTAAAATGTTTTCTAGAAAATGAGTCATTTTTCAAAAAACATTTTTCCCGTGTTTGGTTGCATTCAAGAAAACTATCTTAGTGTGTTTGGTTTATTTTATGGAAAATGAGCAAAATTACTTTTAATTTTAAATATTTAAAATATATAATGATGGTTGTGGTGTGGGGGAGGGGGGGGGGGGGGGGGGGGGGGGTCGCGGCAGCGGCCGACGCTGATTGGCTACTCCACTACTGCAGTCTACAAACGGGAAATGACTTCCCCCTCATTTTCTAGCAAATCCCCTCTATTTTCTATTGATAACACATATTTTTCATTTACTTCCATTTTTCTCATCTTTTTTTTTTTTTTTTTTTTGGTGAGTTAAGACCCGTTTACAACGGGATAAGAGGAGCTCCACTACTAGACCCTTGCAGCACTTGCTCCATTTTTTCCCTCTATCCAAACATGGGAAACCCAAAAATTAATTTTCAGAAATGATTTTTCAGATTTTCAAACGTACCCTTAATAATAACCGAAAATTGTAAGTGAAAATTTCACAAAATCGAGACGTTAAAAGTGGGAAAAAAAAAATAATCCTAATGGTATTATTGAAGTTTTAACTTACCAAAGATGTGAAGAGGAACATGGAGAGAAAAAACAGCATTTTGGAAGGCATATCGAAGTTGCCAGAAATGGAGCTCCAAGCCAGGCTACCCATGCTGGGAGCGGTGACGAACAAGAAGAACACCGGCCGGAGAGTGGCCGGAATGCGGTTGCCGCCGGAGAGTCGCTGGTAAAGGGTAATGAAAACCACCAAGTAGTGACATATGCCCAAGGTAAACATACAGACAGCACTCTCTTTCCAACCCATATGACTCGCCGCCCACGCGCCGGTCAAGTTCCCGATCACAGACATCTGAGTCGTCGGATTAGCCACCATCGACAGAAACCGCTTCTCCGTTGTGAACCACTGGCCGTAGATTTTCAGATCAAGAATCACCACCGGCATTGCCATCAACCACCACAATACCTGAAAAACTAAACCCTCGTCATGAATTTGGCAATGATATAATGTTGATTACTTCTTCTTCTTCTGTCTCATTTTACATGTCATCGGCCACCACAATAATCACAATTGCATGCATGCCATATGTTATTATAACATAATAAAACTAATTATGAATTGTATATAGTAGCTAGCTCGTGAGAACTTGTGGATTAATGTCATTCATCTAGCTAGGATGATCATTGACTAGGAATTAATAAAAAATGAGGGAAAATATAGTAACATTTACGTAATTATTACAATATATTTGGAAATGCTTGATAGTACATTGATTTACCGTTACTAATAGTGCACACACGTGAGCACACTATTATAAATATTGAGTCAACTGTCAGTTATCCGCGTATGCACTATCAAATGTTTTGAAAGGCACCAGCGTAATTATAAAAGTGTCATCACATTTTTTCCTCATTTTAGATGAACATATGAGATTAGATTGCACATTCTCACAAGGCTACTAGTTCTTATTTGATACTGACAATATATATATATATATATATATATATATATATATATATATATATATGTGTGTGTGTGTGTGTGTGTGTGTGTGTGTGTGTGTGTGTGTACGCGCGCGGAGGGTTGGGGTTAGGTGAAAGAGCGTGTGTATAACCTAGAAATTCAAATCCAACATAGCCCATCAATCATGTAAAATTTGTAAACACACATCTGATTCACAATCCACCAATGCTCAAAACACTTGCCCAACACTCATCAAAGTTGAAGTGATCAATACCTATATGCTAGGGTAATAGGTTGGCATATACTTAGGGCACCTCAAATAGCTTAGAGGTTTTGGGATGGTTTTTGATATATAGTGTTAAAAACTTTTTTCATGGTTTTTCACAAATGGGGATATGATTCTTGGTTTTTCTTTGTTTGATTCTTTTACAAAGATTTTGGTTTTTGCTGGAGAAAAAAATGGTAAACAATGTGCGCGTCAGCCGGTGGCTACTATGAAATTTTGACTGTTGCATATATATATTTTTTAATTGTCATAATTTTTTTCATTTTCTTTTTCTCTATCTCCTACTTAGCTTCCTAAAAACCAACAAAAAATTATGACAATTAGAGATGCTTCTATAATTGGAACTTATACAATTTAGAATCTTACTATATTGACGTAATTGTTTTTTTTATTTATTTTCTTCACACGCAAGAAATAATAGCAATATATATGAAAAAGCAAAACAAAATTAAAATTCAATACTAGCGTAGCTAGCTATAAAAGGTACACTTGTAACCAGCGATTTGCTGGTGAAAAAATTTGACCTGACGTGAGAATCTTGTATTAATGAGTATCGAATTATTTATATGTAATTTATTTTTATTTTATTCACACACAATAGATGATAATATGAGGAAAAAAAGGGTCAATATATACTAGCTCTAAAATGTAGAGTTGTAATTGGGTGCCATGTTGACAGAAGAATCCCACCTAACATTATAATCTTGTAGTAATGAGTATCTAATTTTTTATATTTAATTTAATTTTTATTTTATTCACACAAGAATTGGAAATATTAAACAAAAATAAACAAAGAAAACAAAACAAAAAATTCTATACTAGCTCCCAAAAGTTGGGTAGTAATTGGTAGTACACAGAAGAATTCTCCCATTTAACATGCTACTGCTACCACAGGTAGATGATCAAACTTTTAATATTGTATCCAAAAGTCAAAGATCGGTACTACTTGACCATAAAGTCTTAGGCATTTGTTGCGATTCTTTGTTTATCTACTTTTTTTTTTTCTTTAATGATGAAGGAAACTCGCAATCACTACTTCATATTCAATAGTGTCTTGTAACCATAGTCAGCAAAGACCATATAAAGTGAAAAACTACTTAATCTGTCATAAATGGCCGTTTCAAATCAAGAAAGTCCATGCAATCTTAAGTGGTGCACTTAGCATGCTTATTACCTCTATTCATTATATTTAATTTCAACCCGGGCCCATGCACTCAACCACCGCAAATTATGCCTGGAAACGTGGTGAACACGGGCCCAAACGGCGCCATTTTTATAGGGAAAAAAAATTTAGTTAATGTACTGTTAATGGCGTTTTGCATTTTATGTTCAGATTATGAATTTACATTTATTAAAATATGAATTTTCTGTTATGAGATTATGAATTTACAGTATGTAATTATGAATTTTCTGTAAATTCATAATCTCATAACAAAAAATTCATAATCTCTGTCATAATCTCATAACAGAGATTATGAATTTTCTGTTATGAGATTATGAATTTACATTTATTAAATTATGAATTTTCTGTTATGAGATTATGAATTTACAATTATGTAATTATGAATTTTATGTAAATTCATAATCTCATAACAGAAAATTCATAATCTCATAAAAGAATATTTATAATTTCATAACTGTACATTCATAAATCTACGCCTACACATTCATATTTTATGAGTGTTGAAGAAGCTTGCGCGAAGAGGAAGTGAAACCGCGAAATGTGAAAATGGAGAAGAAAAGTCGCGCAGTTAATTAAGAGAGAGAGAGAAAAAAAAGAGAAAAAGATAATGGTGTCGTTATTGTTGGGACCGTGTTCACCATAGATGGTAAACACGGTTCCATAGCATAACGATTGCTCAACTACAAAATTTTCATGAAATATGGGCAAAATATAATCCCAAAAATCACAAGATAATCAAAACATGCATACAAAATCGTCGCCATAAATTACCTGGTAATAAGAGGTTGTTCTGAAGACTGCAAATGGGAAGGATTGCAGCAAGAGCAGCCATGAAACCCAGGGAGCAAAGAAGTAGTTGATGCCGACATAGTTACAAAACTCTGCTTTCACCAAGGAGAAGTGGAAAAAACACCTCAGAGCGTAGAGGAATGAGAGCAGAAGGAGGGTGCAGAGAGTGAGGCACCATAGAAGGATAAACGTGGTTGAAGTGAGACTATGGTAGATGTGATAATGAGGACTTGCGGCGGCGGTGGTGGTGGGGGGTTTGTAGAAATGGTCGGTGAGGGTTTTCCATAGAATTGCTTGGCCGCCAAGGGAGATGCTGATTCTGAAATAGCCTGCGTGAAGGTTTGTCAAGATGGAAGGCTTCGTCGCTGTTTCTTCTTTGTCGTCTTCAGTGACGATAATCTTGATTGCGGATTCCGATATTTTGTCGCCCATTTGGTCGAATCGTCTGTCAATTATGATAGGTGACGATTTTTTTTTGGGACGATTCGATGCGACGAATTGAAGTTGATGAATACTTGGTATTCTTATGTTTCGTTTTGGCTCATTGGGTTGCATGCACGATCCTTTGAATTTATAGAGGCTCAAGAAGAATAGTAATTTGTCCATACGATGGAGGGAGGAGTCAACTACTAGTCAAGGTCAAGGAAATGACAAAAGAATAATACTATATCTTAAGAATTTTACTATATGTACTCCCAAATCTTACTCATCAAATTTACTCCCCGATGTGGCGGGATCTGATAGGTCATTTTCTTCATGTGGGCCATTGTAAAAGTGTCTACACCATTATTTTAAATGTTGGAGTAAAATTTAGGAGTACATAATGGGAATACATATAGTAATTTCCCTATCTTAATAACTTCTAGATTGGAATACGTGTACATCGTATAATTCTCATACCTAATCCTCCTAAACCCTAATAAGACCGGTTCAGATAGTTTATAACTGGTCGGGTTTAGGACAAGTTTGAGTACGAGAAAAATAAATACCGGCCATAAGTTCAGATAGTAGAAAATACATGTACCTAGTAATATATATAGTATAAAGTAATTCAGCCTGCATGGATTGAGCTCATTGTTCAGTACGTAGTCAGTATTTAAAAAAAGAGATCAAAGTTTGAACTTCAAACATATCGAATTATGCCCATATCCATTGTGCGCCCGTACTGACACCGACATTTGGTTCCATTTGTCCTATTTGCTGAGCCATTGAGTCACCATGATTCAAAATAATTCAGTTATATATTAGTTCGTGAATAATTTAATGGATGGTATCCTATCCGTTATCATCTTTAATAAAAATATCCATTGAACTGATTGAAGTGTACCTACTTTGAGAAGACTTTCCATTTTACTTTTATTATTAGAACACCTATTAAATTGTCTGCCGCAATTTACCAATTGATGTTCATCTAAATGGATGAGGGTGATGCCACCCACCTACCATACTCACGCGGTATATAATTAGCTCTACGAGTAGGTAAGAGTTCAGCAGTTCAATTACATTGTAAATTGATAATAATTAATAAGTTACACTTATTTAAAGTAAACTTATATCAATTTAGTCTAATATAAGTTCCAACTTTAAATTTAAGAGACTTTAATCGTTTTTGCTCTAGAAACTAATGAAAGGGATAAATCACAAGGTGTGCTTCAATGAGCTGACAAGTTTATATACACTAGTGCCCACAAGTAAATCACGGGATGTGCTTCAAAGGGCTAACAAGTCCATACACTAGCTAGTGTCCACAACAGGACAAATCTATACCTCATTTAAAAAAAAATAAAAAATTCTAGGTAAGATTTGAACTTTAAAAATTCTAAGTAAGATTTGAACTCTATACCTTAGCTTACAGCCTGCTAGCAAAGTAAAGTTTATGGTCGGCCTAAAGAAAGTCTGATCCAATGCTCGGGAACCCACCAGACGGATCCCGGGAGGCCATTTTATTGGGAAAGTATTGGTTCAAGTGGGGTGTCCATTTTTATTGTCAAGGAGCAAAGTAAAAAATGTAGTCACCATAAAGAATCAAACCCAAAACCTCTAGTTTAACATAACAACACAAGTTTAATCCAAACCACCAAACTACCATGCAATATTTTATGTATGAAAAGGTGGGAAGCTCTATTTAACTGTGTGGAGATCGTTGACATCGTCCAAATAGTGGGGGACACGTGTACGGTCAAGATTGAAGGCAATCTGATGCCGTACATTTGTCAATCATTTGGAATGCCCTCTACACTATATAAGACACTCTTGCCACTATTTAAATCATCATCCCTTGAATCATAACATCCTTCTTGGTCCATTAGCTTGTAGTTGGTCTTAACCTTTAACTTATACGGGCTATACACTAGGGTTTGATTCCTAGTAACAATATTATTATTTTTAGTATTCTTTGGGTCGCCGTTTTGGATCAGTATATTAGGCTTTGTACGTACTATTTTGAGCCTAGCGCACAAGCCAATAATACTATTATTTTCCTACCTCGTTCTGTACTTCAATACACGGTTTATTATTATTTTTAGTATTCTTTGGGTCGCCATTTTAGATCAGTATATCGGGCTTTGTACGTACTATTTAAGCCTAGCGCCCAAGCCAATAATACTATTATTTTCCTACCCCGTTCTGTACTTCAATACACGGTTTATGATGGACATGGTCCTGACAAAACCATCGGTATATACCTGCATCAAATTATGACATTTGTACTATTATTATGTTATATTTCAACTCCATGCATTCATACTCACAAATTATATTTGACTTCTGTTAAATATTATGGTCTTGTTTGGTAAAATAGTTAGCTTATCAGTAAATTTTGATTTATTTGACCACTATTAGCTATTTAACTTAGTTAAATAATCAATATAAGTGTTTGGTTAATAAGTTTTTTGTAATTCCAAAATGTTAAAATTAAAAAAGCTGCTCAAATCAACCTTTTCAATTAGTTTTTTTTGAGAAAAGAAATTATGCAAAACAACTATCATCTAACAACTAATTTACCAAACACATTTCTACAATCAGCTAATGTTATCAACTAATTAATTATACCCTCTAACCCAATTAGCTAACAACTAATAATCATTTACCAAACAGTGCCTATATATATATATATATATATATATATATATATATATATATATATATAGGCGAGTTCAGGTGCGACAGTGTCTTACGGTGCGGCGGTGCGGCAACACCAATAGTTCAACAAATATGCACCATCAACGTTAGGAAAATACACCACAAAAAACAGAGTAAACAGAGCCCCGCATCACCAAACACACACCATTAGGTGTGAGTAAAAACACCATACGCTGTTCGTAAATACACCATTGGGGGTAGTGAGTTATATGGTGTATTTTTTTGAGTCTGTTTTGTATTTTGTGATGTTTTATTGCATTTCATTGTGTGTGTTTTTCTTACACTGTTGGTGCATATTGTTAACATTGTTGGTGTATTCTGGAATTCCGCCGCACCGCCGCACGAGAAGACCCCGCCGCATTTGAACTTTATTCTATATATATATATATATATATATATATATATATATATATTGTGAAGGGATCAGGTGCATTTGTTGCTTCCCGTGCGGTTGTGCGGTGGATTAATGTGTGTGATGTTAATATGCGTGAGTTTTGTACTTAATGTGCCTGAGCGTTGTGCTTAATATGCGTGAGATTTGTGCTTAATGTGCGTGAGTAGTTCAGAATTACGAACTCAAAAAGAAGCAGAACAGAAAATCACCATATAACTATGCTACTGAAAAGAGAAGCACCCATATAGTCATGATAAAATGTTTGCACCAGCACCCTTTTCGCACCTTCATTCTTAAGAATCTGAGCTATGCTACTGAAAAGAGAAGCACCCATATAGTCATGATAAAATGTTTGCACCAGCACCCTTTTCACACCTTCATTCTTAAGAATCTGAGCAAAAGCATCAAGGGAGCACTTGTACTTGACGGCTTCACCAGATGTCATCATCATTGGGTAAGAAGCAATATCAGCACCATTTGTGATAACCCATCCGAGAACAAAGCTAGCGAAGAAACTATCCTGTAGGTCTCCACTTTTCTGCTGCATTTTACACCTAGACCTGACAATTCGTGTATACGGGTTTGTTAACGGGTCGACACGATTACGACACAAACACGATAAGACTAAACACGGCCGACACGACACTTTAAGGTTAACAGGTTCAAAATTTTAACACGAACACGATTTGTTAACGGGTTAAACAAGTTGACACGATAGACACATTTTGTTAATGAGTTTCGAGTCGTATTGACAAGATATAACACGAAACCCGTTTAAACCCGCTAACGTAACACCCGATCGAGTTAATTAACTAAACCCGTCACAATTTTTATTATTTGTAAGAAAAAAAAAAAAAGAAACTCGAAACAAAAAAGTGTTAACTTAGATTGTTACACACAAATTAAAGTGATAAGTTGTGCTTAGAAAAATGCAGGCAGGGATGATTATTTTGTCGTCGCAAGAGGCTATTAGCATTGAGAGCTGTGAAAAGCAAGAGGCAGACGAAGACGATGATGGAGAGAGCAGAGAGTAGAAGCATCAAGGCTGAGGCCGCCATGGATTTCACTTGACGAGCATAGTGTGCTGAAGCTAACGCCAGGAATGTGAGTGGAAATGAATAAGCCCACCATGCTATGTTGAATCTTCGCATCGACTTTTTGAATAATGTTGGCCTGCAAACCTGCATGTTTCGAATTTATCACATCATGAAGTAAAAGTGAGAGAATAGAATTTAGTAGAACTCGAGTGAAAATGTTAATTACAAAAGTCAACGGGCTAAAGTAGAAAAAACTATGAATAGTATTAGGAAGTCAACGGGCTAAAGTAGAAAAAACTATGAATAGTATTTATCCCTTGACTTGAAAATTTTTACTATTTAACTTCTTTTGACGAGTTTTTCAACCACACATTACTTAAATTAATTGTTGTCAGATGAGTTTTTCACCTATAATCTTTAATTTGACATTTTTTTTAAAAAAACTATATACTAGTATTTTGGCTTTGAGTTTCAATTCTTATTATGTTAGGGGTGTTTGATTGGAAATTATGAAATTTTCGACTACCTGAAAGTGATTTTAAATCGAGTCGAAAGTAAAAAGTGGTCAGAAATAGCAACAAAGGTTTTTCTGGATACCAAAAGTGGTCGGAACAAGACTTTTGACTTATTTAAAATCACTTCAGGTGGTCGAAAATTCTATAATTTCCAGCCGTGAATAGCTGTTAACTGATTGGGTTAGTGTGTTTGACTAGTTGATACTGCAGAGCCGGTCCGGCCCAGGTCCTAGCCATGTCTGGAAGGGCCGATCCGGGGTCTGACTAGGGCGACTGCACAGGGCCTCAATTTTTTATTTTTTTTTTTGTGGATATAATCTATTATTTTTTATAGTTAATAATTAT